AAATAAATTCTTAAAATTAATTTTACTGGTTTATTTTCTTCTTTTATATGACTACTAAAAAAAATTAAACTTACATACATGCCTTGAATTACATTTTTATTGGACATCACTGCTCCAAAGGGAAGGGCACTTATACTGGAATTCGTTATTCTCTATTACACTTGCTCTTCAGAGCCAGTTTGTTAACCACACTTTCATAACTAACATGGATTGGTGAATTGTTTCTCTGACATTTCCAGTTTTATAATTATTCTTACATTTTGATTCTGTTTAATTTAGTACACTTTCCATATAGCCTTTAAAGTATTAAAAGGCACTAAGAGTTAAAACATTGAAGTTTCAAATGAATGCTTTTTGTATATTGTACTTCCAGCAGGGCAATTTATGGAGCTAAAGGATAACTATGTGATAAAGTATTCTGCAGTTTCTGTTTCTTAGAATGCTCTCAGATTAATGTAAAAGAAAAGACAACACAATTGTGTTCCAAACTGTAAAATGCTTCCAGAAATGTATAAATTTAATGCACAAATAATAAGAAAATGCAAAGGAATCCTTAAAAAGTAATGTAAAAGATGAATTCTGAAAAGAAATTTATTTTAAGCAAGTATTAAAAGTAGAAAGGCTCATAAATTATGAATAGGATTTTTAAAAAATTCATGAAGGTAATGTTTTCTCTAGAGCATGGTGCTCTTTAAAAAAACCCAAATTAGGAGGAATTTGGATATGGTTCATACTGGAAGCAAGGCCTGGAAATAAGAAGATACAATATTGTCTCTTTTCTTTGTTGAAACAGTGGAGGACAGGAAGGAAAAACCTGTGGAGAAGTCATCTGTATCCACTTCTGTACCTACAAAACCAGCAGAAACGATCTCAAAGGCCTCTGCAAGTACCCCAGTGCCTGTTACCATGACTGCCACCCCACCTCTTCCAAAGCCTGTGACTACGTCTCTTTTGTCCTCTTCCCCAGCATTGGCTTTGCCAAACCTGGCTAATGTGGATTTGGCAAAGATCAGTTCCATCCTTAGCAGCCTGACATCAGTCATGAAAACTACAGGTAAGTTTTCATCTTTTTTATTGAACCATCAGTCTGTTTTTTGATGTTGTTGTTGTTGATTTATTTAAATTGAAAGTATTGTTTTAATGAAAAAAATACACCTAGATATAACAAAACAGAGCCAACAAATGGATCATTTTATACAAATCAGTAAATAAGGGTAAGCAAAGAGAATAAATATAATCCTCCTATCCCAAAGGAACCACTTATATTTACCTTTGCACATATATGAATGTTTTAGGGGAGTAAATATTTGTAACCATTTTTTTTCCCCAGAAATTGAAGTATTTTGCACATACTATTTTAAACTGGCTATTTAAAATTAACTACATATAAGAACATTTTTCTAAGTCATTAAATACTTAATCTGTATTATTTTAACAGCGACATAGTGTTCTATATTTTATTAATCTAATTCTTTATTATAAGACATTTAGTTTATTTCTAATTTTTCACTGTTGTAAAGAATCTGTAATAACCTTAAAGATAAAATTTTATTCACAACCCACCCTAAAAGCATTGATAAATATGTAGGGCTTTTATTTTTAAGGAAAATTTTAATGGAAATATTTATGGGATATGTACAAAAGTAGAGAGTGTTCATATTTCCATTACTCTGCTTCAACAGTGTAAATATAAACATGGCTAATCTTACTTCATCTGTTCCCCTACCTACTCAGGATTATTTTGAAGTAAATATCATTTCATCGTAAATATGTGAATAGATGTTTATACAGTTTTAACTCTTTACTCTGTTAATTACTAACTTGATCTGCCAAAATGTACTATTTTGTATAGCAAATATATGAAAGTTGCCATTATTCCTCACTCTCTCCAATCCTGTTTTGTTTTAATCTTTGTCAGATTAAACTTTAAGAAGTCATTTGTTTTAATGTGCAAATCTTTGACTAACAGTATAGTTAATTTTTTTTCATTTGCTTATTTTCTTTATAAAATACTTATTCCTACTTTAAAAAAAAAAAATCAGATGTTTTTCTTATTTTTGGATACCTTTTTTCCTGGTAGACATCAACCCAGTATTTTAAAAGGTAAAAATATAAAGGACATTGCTTACATAATCTCATTTCAAAGGCAAGTAACTTACCAGTCACATGGAATTGTTCAGTGGCAGAGCTATGCATTGCTAATGTCTCTGATCATTGTAATCAGTCACCAAGACTCCGAGTTTAGGTGGCATTGGAGAGAGAAAAAGTAAATTGGATGCCTGGTCTCTCTCTACTGGAACTGTCAAATTAATGAATATATATGAAAATAACTTACTGATGCTAAGCTTGTTCCCAAGTAGAAAGCAGCAAATTTTAATCTTATTTTCAGATACTTTTCTTTGTGTAAGCCATGATACGGAACCATTTGTGAGTCAGTCACAGAAGACTTATGTTAAACATATCAAACTGGTTTAAGTGAATGGGAAGTGTCATGAATTCAGTCATTTTGAATTGCATTTTCTTGAGTTCATCTTTCTGCCACCAGGGGTCAGTCCTGCATCAAGACCATCTCCAGGAACTCCTACAAGTCCCAGCAACCTCACCAGTGGCCTGAAAACACCTGCTCCTGCCACGACAACATCTCACAACCCTCTGGCAAATATCCTCTCCAAGGTGGAGATCACCCCAGAGAGCATTCTGTCTGCTCTTTCCAAAACCCAGACACAGTCAGCCCCTACACTGCAAGGTAAACTGACATGTGCCAGAGGGACTTGAATTGTGAATGTTTGTCTCTGGCTTAATCCTAGGTTCCTATTTCTGAGGAATCCAAAGCCATGAAATGTACAATACAGTTTATTCATTAGTCTCTTCCTTTTTATCATCTACAAGCTGACATTCACAGAATTCTAAAATGGCAAAGCTAAAAGAGACTTTAAATATCATGTAGTCTAATCCCCTCCTTTTCAGGTGAGGAAATTAGGGCTCAGTGAGGTGATGTGACCTGCTGTTGGTCACACATCTATCTATTCGATGATAAGCCAACACTTAAAGGCAGATTTCTTGAGTGGAGTCCAGTATTATTTCACCTACACCATGATACCCCTAGGGGCTGCATTTATCCCAGCTCTTGTTGTTGTTGTTGTTGTTATGTGCCGTCGAGTCGGCCCCGACTCATAGTGACCCCTCCTTGGGTTTCCGAGGCAGTATCACTACGGAAGTAGGATTGCCCAACCTTCCTTCCGAGGAGTGGCTGGTGGGTTTGAACCGCCAGCCTTCTGGTTAGCAGTCAAGTGCTTTAGCCACTATGCTACCAGAGCTCCCGTTGTTGTCCCAGCTCTTAGTACAGGTTAGTATATGTTGAGGTTTACCTATTTTAATGTTAACTGAAGCTAAAGATAGTAAGAAAGGTCAATCTACTATCAAAATTATCTTTTTAGAGACATGAAATAGATATTTTTCTGTGTCCTAACGTTATACACCTACTCCTTACTTATCAAATAACTCATTACCTAACATTTCACATTTGTGACCATAATGAAAAATCTTTCTAACTATTTTGCACATTAATGATGTACACCTGGCAGTAACATGGCCGAGGTGGGCCATGATTCTTAGTGGTTTGGCAATTATGTAGTGGCATAATTTGGCAGTCATCTTCCATTTTGTGATCTGATGTAATCATCCTCCATTTTGTCATAATGCTGATTTTCTCATAACGACTTGGTCTTTGGAACTTAACCATGTTGAAAAGTGAGGAGTAGGTGTATATTGTACATCTTTTTTTATTGTTGCATACTTATAATCTCTCCCCCACTTGAACCTCTCTGCTCAGCTTTGCTAATTATCTACTTTGTGCCTGGCACGGTTTCCTTCTAAAATTTTCATAAAGCTTATCTTTGCGCTCTTTCATACCCTCCAGATAACAACACAACCCTTTTTAAACACTTTAATATACCTGTGTAGTACACTACATGTACCAGAACAGTATCTTCAATGTACCAATTTACTCTGTATCAGTAGTTCTCAACCAGAGGTGATTTTGCTTCCAGGGGCCATTTGGCAATGTCTGGAGACATTTTTGGTTGTCAAAAGTAGGAGGAGGGTAATGTGCTACTGTATCTTGTGAGTGGAGGCCAAGGATGTTGCTGAACATCCTATAGTGCACAGAACAGCCCCTGACACAAAGAATTATCTGGCCCAAAATGTCAGTAGTGCTGAGGTTGAGAAACTATGGTCTGTAAGAATAAGGACCAGTATAGGCATGTTATTTTTATGTTCCTTAAACTAAATCTGTAAGTAGATCAACCAAGCATGCATGTTACAGTAAATTTTGGCTTAGGATGTAGAAGATTTTTGTTACATAGATGTAAATACTATTAAATTATTATCCACAAAACCAAACTAAACACACTGCCATAAAGTCGATTTTGACTCATAGTAACCCTATAGGACAAATCTTTATGGAAGCAAATTGTCTCATCTTTCTTCCTTGGAGTGGGTTCAAACTACCAGCCTTTTGGTTAGCAGACAAATACTTTAACCACTGCACCACCAGAGCTTCTTTATTATCCATATCCCCTATATATTGGCACCAACAATAAAGAATTATGGTGATTATACTACAGCATATTTTAAACTGCTTATTTCAGCAATAATTAGTTTGAGAAATAGATTGTTAATGATCTTTCCTTTTCAGTCTTCTGTCACCATCTTATAGTTACTGTAAAAATCTTGAACTTATATTTTTAGTTTCTCATATATTTACAATACCTACATCTTAAACCGTTTCCTTTTTAGGCAAAATTTTGAACAGAGTTAGGTGTGTTCTAATAAAATTGCGAAGAGGAAACCCAGGAAATAATCTTTATGGAATAACAAAGATTGTTCATCACCTTTCATTTTTTTATGGAAAGTAGCATTCTCCTTGGCTTTTAAAAAAACTGTGCTCAGCAATTTAAATAGATGTATTTTCTCAAGGATTATAAAGGAAATCTCTAGAACTTTACTCTGATCATGTTCATCCACAGCACATATTAAAAGGTTTTCAACATAAAAGAAAGACTTCGGTGGGCAAGGGAACATAGAATATAGCTTGTTAAGATCGAATAAAACTAATACTTAGTGGTGAGAGGAAATTTTCTCTATTGCCTGAAAACCAAATAGTAAGTTTTTTGAAGAACGTATTCGACAATATCTGAAAGATATGCTGAAATACCTTTTTAAAATCAAATGATAACATCATGTATCATATTCTCATGCTTGAGGACTTCTAGTTTTGGTAACAACAGTGACTACTGAGGATTGAAACTATTGGGGGTGGGAAGTGGGAAAAATGATATAACCAGGGAACTTTTTGGAAATGAAACATGAATTTTTTAGGAGGGTAATATTCTCATAAAAACCATGTAACATTAGATGTAGGGAACAATTTAAAATGTTACAAGGGTGGAGTGGCCTTGAAGTTCATCACACCTTAAATAAATCTCTTAGCCAATTTATAGATTAAAATTGAAATCTTGAAGAACTAAACATTAATTGAAGTATCAGATTAAGTATTATTTTCTTTTACATATCATTACTAAGGAATAGTTTTAATGTATTCAGTGACTAAAAGCTATAAATTTGGGTGAAATGTGTGTAAAAATGTTTCATTTATGACCAGAAATTGGGTAAGTGTTCTAAAATACAAAAAAATTTATAAGACCTTCTATCTTTTCTTTGTCAACTATTTTTCTAGAACATTTTCTACAGGAGCAGTTTGCTTTGGTGGACTTCAACCTTTGCCCCAAACTTCTTTCTCAGTATTTCTGAGGTTTTGTCTGTCAGTGAGTAGGGTTGAATCTCATTAGTGTTAACCTGGGCAGATGCATGTTGTTGTTGTTGTTTTGTGCCGTCGAGTCAGACCTGACTCATAGCGACCCCTCCTTGGGTTTCCGAGGCAGTATCACTATGGAAGTAGATTGCCCCATCTTCCTTCCGAGGAGTGACTGGTGGGTTTGAACCACCAGCCTTCTGGTCAGCAGACAAGTGCCTTAGCCACTATGCTACCAGAGCTCCCGGGCAGATGCATAATCCTTGAATATTCCAAGCCATGTAGATGGGAATTGTGTGTTTTCCAGTGAAAGGATCAGTGTCCCTGTTGGTCTGGCTTTGTAAATCTCTATGATGTATATTTATGTATTTTTTATAGCTGCGTTTTTTTTTTTTTGGTTGGTTGGTTGGTTGGGTTTTTTAAATGATATTTTACTGTGTTTTAAGTGAAAGTTCACACAGCAAATTAAGTTCCCCCTTAACATTTTTATACAAATTTGTCTTACATAGTTAATTGTTTAAGACAATCTATTATTTGGCTGAAAGGTGATACAGCTCCATTTTAAAAGCAAAATTGATAGTTAGAAGCATTGTTTCCCCAAAAATAGCACCAGTCTAGCAAGAAATGCTTCTTGAAAAAAAGTGTTCCCTCTTGGAATAAATTTCTGAAATTTGCATATCCTATTTCTCTTGAGAATAACAGTACACGTGAACTTTTGAGGGATGGTTTGAGAGGTGGGAAAGAGGGTAGAGCAGAGTATCTGTTTTCATTTTGAGAAACAATTCCACAGATCAGACAGCAAGAAATATTGGCTTAAAGTGTTGTTTTAAGAATAATTTTTGCCTCCTTTCTTTTTCTGCTTTGCCTTGCTTAAACTGTGAGTGATTTTGACACTAAAATCTCCCCCTTCCTGTTGCCTTCCTGTTTGCCTTGTTTCTGGACTGTGCTAGGACACATTTCAGTATTTTTCTCTCTTTATATTGATAAATAGGTCCAGTGTTTTCTATGACATTTAGCCCTTGCTTGTTTGGTCTGGATTCCCTTTGGCCTTAGATTTTAATGTTTATTTGGTTCCCACCGGAATGAGAATATCCGATTAGCCTACATTGTTGTTATTGTATGGTAGGAAGTTGTTCTTTTTTAACTCCTCTAATCTTTGTTTCTACAGGCCTGTCATCCTTACTGCAGAGTGTTACTGGGAACCCAGTTCCAGCCAGTGAAGCTGCATCTCAGAGCACTTCAGCTTCGCCTGCCAACACCACAATCTCCAGCATAAAGGGAAGAAGTTTGCCTTCTAACACCCAATCCTTTATTCCCAAAAGCTTCAACTATTCTCCTAATTCATCAACTTCTGAAGTCTCTTCAACTTCAGCCAGCAAGCCCTCAATTGGGCAAAGCCCGGGACTCCCAAGCACTACTTTTAAGCTACCATCCAACTCTCTGGGGTTTACAGGGACCCACAACAGTACTAGTCCTGCTGCCCCACCTACTGAAGTTGCCCTGTGCCAATCTTCAGAGATCTCTAAGCCAAAGCTGGAGTCAGAGTCCACCTCCCCAAGCCTGGAAATGAAGATCCACAACTTCTTAAAAGGTAATCCTGGTTTCAGTGGCTTAAACTTAAACATCCCAATCCTGAGCAGTTTGGGATCCAGTGCCCCAGCTGAGAACCATCCCTCAGACTTTCAGCGTGGCCCCACTAGCACCTCAATGGACAATATTGATGGAACCCCTGTGCGGGATGAACGGAGTGGGACACCCACCCAGGATGAGATGATGGACAAGCCCACATCCAGCAGTGTAGATACCATGTCCTTGCTGTCTAAGATCATCAGTCCTGGTTCCTCAACACCCAGCAGTACAAGATCACCACCCCCTGGGAGAGATGAAAGCTACCCCCGGGAGCTCTCCAATTCTGTACCTACATATCGACCCTTTGGCTTGGGCAATGAATCTCCCTATAAGCAACCTTCTGATGGAATGGAGAGACCATCTTCCCTGATGGACTCTTCACAGGAGAAGTTCTACCCAGATACTTCTTTCCAAGAAGATGAGGATTACCGAGATTTTGAGTATTCAGGGCCTCCGCCCTCTGCCATGATGAACCTGGAGAAGAAACCAGCCAAGTCTATCCTGAAATCCAGCAAGCTTTCTGACACCACAGAGTACCAGCCGATTCTTTCCAATTACAGCCACAGGGCCCAAGAATTTGGGGTAAAGTCTGCCTTCCCTCCATCTGTAAGGGCCCTCCTGGACTCTAGTGAAAACTGTGACCGTCTCTCATCTTCCCCTGGGCTATTTGGTGCCTTCAACATAAGAGGGAATGAACCTGGGTCTGACCGGTCACCATCACCGAGTAAGAATGATTCATTTTTCACCCCTGACTCCAACCACAATAGCTTGTCTCAATCTACCACTGGGCATCTCAGTTTGCCACAGAAGCAGTACCCAGACTCTCCTCACCCAGTCCCACATCGTTCCCTTTTCTCTCCGCAGAATACCCTTGCCGCTCCCACGGGCCGCCCACCCACATCAGGCGTGGAGAAAGTCCTGGCCTCCACCATTTCCACCACGTCGACGATTGAGTTTAAGAATATGCTTAAAAACGCCTCACGCAAGCCCTCAGATGATAAGCATTTTGGCCAGGCCCCCAGCAAGGGCAATTCAAATGATGGTGTCAGTCTCTCAAACCTCACCCAGCCCAGCTTGACCACCACTGATCAGCAGCAACAAGAAGAGCACTACCGTATAGAAACCCGTGTCTCCTCCTCCTGCTTAGACTTGCCTGATAGTACAGAAGAAAAAGGGGCCCCTATAGAAACCTTGGGTTATCATAATGCTTCCAATAGGAGGATGTCAGGGGAGCCAATACAGACAGTAGAGTCCATCAGAGTTCCTGGGAAGGGAAATAGAGGACATGGGCGCGAGGCTTCAAGGGTGGGTTGGTTTGAACTGAGCACCTCAGGCAGCTCTTTTGACAATGGCCCCTCAGCTGCCTCTGAGTTGACATCCCTTGGGGGTGGGGGCAGCGGAGGCCTCACTGGCTTTAAAACGGCAACATACAAGGAACGGGCACCCCAGTTTCAGGAGAGTGTCACCAGCTTTCGTTCCAACAGTTTCAACTCGACATTTGAGCATCATCTTCCCCCGGCCCCCTTGGAGCATGGGACACCCTTCCAGAGAGAGCCAGTGGGGCCAACATCTGCCCCACCTGCCCCTCCTAAGGATCATGGTGGTATCTTCTCTCGAGATGCACCCACTCATCTACCCTCTCTGGATCTCTCGAACCCTTTCACAAAGGAGGCAGCCCTGGCCCATGCTGCCCCACCCCCTCCTCCTGGAGAGCACAGTGGTGTTCCTTTCCCCACTCCACCCCCTCCCCCGCCCCCTGGGGAACACAGCAGCAGTGGTGGGAGTGGAGTCCCCTTTTCTACTCCACCCCCTCCTCCACCCCCTGTTGATCACTCTGGGGTTGTCCCTTTTCCAACTCCACCACTGGCTGAGCACGGAGTGGCAGGGGCTGTGGCAGTGTTTCCCAAGGACCATAGCTCCCTCCTTCAAGGGACCCTGGCTGAGCATTTTGGTGTGCTCCCAGGACCCAGGGACCTCGTGGTCCCTACCCAACGGGACCTCAACGGCCCTGGCCTTAGCCGTGTGCGTGAGAGCCTGAGCCTACCATCCCATTCTCTGGAGCACCTGGGCCCAGCCCATGGAGGAGGAGGTGGGGGAGGCAGCAACAGCAGCAGTGGCCCCCCCTTGGGTCCCACACACAGAGACGCCATCAGCCGGAGTGGTATGATTTTGCAGAGTCCCCGGCCAGACTTTCGGCCCAGGGAACCTTTTCTCAGCAGAGACCCGTTCCACAGTTTAAAGAGACCCAGGCCACCTTTTGCTAGGGGACCTCCGTTCTTTGCACCAAAACGCCCATTCTTCCCTCCCAGGTACTGATGGAAACCAAGGGAAAGGCATTTTGAACAGTCTAGAGAGCATTGGAAGTAGGAGTTTGGTTTACTGTTGTTGTTTTATTTGTTTTTTCCTCTCCTTGATTTTTTTTATTTTTCATTATGACAAAGGGCCTCCCTTCCAAATTAAAAAGTCATACATGCTTACATTTCACTATTCCATTTGTCAAGTCCTCCTTCCACTGCACTTATCTACCTTCCCCAAACTGTTCGTATTGAAGAAGAAAAAAAAAAAAAGGCAGACACTACCAAAGCCACTTCATTTGGTTATGGGGGGAGGGGAAGGAAAGCAAATCTTACTTTACCCCATTTATTGGAGATTATTATTACATTTGAAATAAAATTTCCATAAGTACAGATAATAACATATGTGCAATGTTGGGGTGTTATTTTGGGCTTGCCTTATCAAATAGTTGATGGAGGAATTTCTGTCCCCAGCTAAGTAACTGTTGTAACCAGCTTGGCTTCCTTCCCCCTGTGCGCGCGCTGTGCCCTACTGACAGCCAAGAGATGTTGTAAAGGAGGAAATATGGGAGACCTTGGACTTGTCAGGTTTATTTGTGTTCTGTTTTGTTTTAAAAGGCCTGTTTTAATTTAGTTCTCTACCTTTCTCCTAAGAACTTTTTTTTTTTTTTTTTTTAATCAACATCTTCAAATTATACTGGGCAGGTAACTGAAGAAATAGAAACCTCATTCTATCCTAATTGTTTCTCTTTGTCCGTGGGATGAACAAGACAGGGTGCATATAATTCCAAGGGTTAAAATAAGTGACTACAACGATATTTAGAGTTAGGGAAGGGAACCATTCATGGTGTGATGTGACCTGTCAGTCCTTTGTAAACAAGAGAAAATGGAGGGGGTTCTGAGGTGGTTTCGCACGTCTTGCACCACGCTGTTGCCTCTTGCTTTTCTTTCTTGACTTTCTTTTTCTTCCTCAGTTTTCACTTCTGGGCCAGAAGGAGTCATTAGAGTTGACAGTTGATACAAAGGCACAACTAAAATACTGTCTCTGTATTTTTTTATTATTTTTTTTTTTGCAAAGAAACAATCTTCGTTTTTAAAAATAAGTAGATATTATTTCTCCCATAGTATCTCCTTACTGTAAGTGATAGTTGGTAGTTTTCAGCAAAAGTTAGAGAAAGGAAAAGTATTTGTCTTTATCTTTTCCCCTTCCACCAGCTCTATATACACCCCTGTCCTTGGTATTTCAAAGGAAGAAGTTCAGTAGCATCTTTTATATATATAGCATATATATATGCTTAGATGCATCTTAGAAACAAAGGGAGTATTCCCTTTATGGAGAAACAGGAGGGCCTGATAAACCCAGATTACAGATAGCATCCCATCACATTTCAAGGTTCAAGCTTTATTCCCACCTCCCAATCCAAACAGGACATGAAGAATGTCTCTGCCCTTAGCCATTTTCCATCAGAAAGAATTACTGGCCTTCCCCTGCTCATTTGTGTCTGTATTCCTAGTGCTCTGGAAAAAGACAATCACTGCACTTTGAGTCTCTATACTTTTCTGTCTAGGGACACTGAAAAGCAAGTATTGCTTTAGTACTATTTTTTATTATTTAATCTTTTACCACAGGGTAAACACTGAGAATCTTCAGCTAAATGAGTAAAACTGTGTAAAGTTTTTCTGGGAGTCCTAGCAAGTTTTATACATTTTCTCCCTAGTTAGTATAGAACTAACTATAGGATGTATGGGAATTGCTTTGGATTTCTCCTGAGGAATAATAAAAGTGGGGGCAAAGGTCATTACAGAAGACAATTCTTTGTCTCTTTGTCTTGCAGTATGTTTGCTTTTCAGATAAGGAGCAGCTCAAACCAGATGTGCAGAATTTTTGTTTATTTCATGTTATTTGGTTTGGTCATGTGTTCTTAGGTTATGATGCGAAGAGTCATTCATCTTCCTAATGCATATCTGGTCTTAAGCCAACTGTTCTTTCTTTGACCCTCTCAAGCCTCTGCCCTGTAGCTCTCCCCATAAAAATGCATGTTACCATGATCTTGTGTGTGGGATAGGGTATGTAGTGTAGTAAAACAAAGCCAACAGTATAGTTGTGTTGAGTTCTAAGACATTTGTTAGGGAAAAGTGAGAGAATGGGGGAGAAACATACTGTGTGCATGTGTGTGTGTGTGTGTGTGTGTATTGGGAAAGGAGAGTTCCATTTGACTTCAGAACAGAAATAGATTTTTTGTGTGTGTGTGGAGAAACTAAGTGGGATGTTTTTCATTCTAAAATAAAAGAATGTGAATTTTCTGCTGCTCTGTGTAAGCTAAATGTAGTGTTTACTTGAAAAAGCTCTCTGGCCATTTGTTTTTATCAGAAAATATGGGGATGTCAAGAAAGTGGCTTCCTGACTGTCAGGGCAGGGTAATTGTCCTCAAAAGCATGATGGCTAATAAATGAAAGGAAGACTTTGTTGTATAGTTTAAAAGATAGACCTTTAAGGGTTTATTTTTGTGTGTGTGTGATTTCTTTTTAAAAAAAAAAAAAAAAATCCTCAATGTGTTTGTTTCAGGATGGAAGTGAGGATTTGTATGTGACTGTCAGCTATTAACATTAAGGAAATCTGTCTACAGCAGTAAATGAAGACAACAATGTATATATGTGCTATAGTGAAACAAAAACAGAAAATTCTGGTATTCATAACATGAAACAAAGGGGTTTTATTCTTTCTGTGTCTGTGATTTAAAACTCTGTGACCATACTCTGACTTTTGTATTTCAACATGAGTTTAAAAAAAAAATAATAAACAAGATATTTTTTAAAGAAAGTATAGCTTAGTTTGTCTTGGCAAGGACATGATTCATATGAAAGCAGATATGAGAAGTTGTTACTCAGGTCCTTGGTGCTCACTGAAAAATCACAGACAGAGAATTGGTGGAGATCGTGAATATACTGGTACCACTTCAAGCACAGTGATACAGTATCAGAAATAGAGTTCTTACCTATCTTGCAGGAGTATACTCTTCAATAAGCCTTAGATGAGTGCTCTCTCCCTCTCCTTTCTTCCCTTCCAAAAGTTGAGAGTAAATTGAATTTGGTTTGCTCCTAAGGAGGGTAAAATGAAAAGCTAGTAGGATTTTCAATCTTTCTGATCCCAAGAATGCCGTGTTTGTGGTATATAATGGTTCAGCAAATCTATCTAGATAATGTGAATATGCTAAACTTTCTAATTGCAGAATATTCACTATCAAATCCTGAAGTTACCAGAATTAAGCCTCAGCTGTTACTGTTTTGGAGCTGCTGTAAATTACTGCTTTTCCCCCACTTTTTTCCCTTTTCTATTTTTTATTTTTTTGACTAGGCGGGAGTGCCTGTTAAGATTAAAATTAGATTTGTTGGATTGATATTCTCACGTGTTCGGTGTGGAATACAAAATAAGTACATGCTTTAGAGGCAACAACAATGAAATCCTTTTGAAATGTGTATTAATATCATTTAATAAAATAACTAGTTCTGAAGGTTTGACATTTTTCTTTGAGATTTGGGCTTTGACCAAGGGCCCCTGGCTTCTCTGGTGAGTGCAAAGAGGAGGGACCTTCTCCAGGAGCCGAAACTGCCCCTTTGTGAAGCAGGCCTGTGGTTGAAAACATAAATTTTCTCCAGCAAAGACCCTACATCACTGTCCAGGGCTGAAGGTGAAGCCAGCTACAGAATGCAGAAAGAGAAGTCTGGAGACCTCTCTGAAGATGCCATTGTATTGGCTTTTGCTTTGAGTATAAGGGGTTGGGAGTGTGATTTGTGTGCCTGCACAGACCTGAAGCCCACAGAGAGATACCACAGACCATCCCATCTCTTCCCTTCCTTGTGGCCACTTAAACTTTCTTCCATTCCTTTTTTATTTTTTAAAAATCTCTTTGTTCTCCAATATTACTATGTTTTGTTTCAAGTTGAATAAAGTATAGTCTCCTTTGTTGCGTGGTTGACTTTTCCCCTCTACATTGATCTTGTCCAGCTGTCCCCTTTGACTTCTGCGCACTGTCACTGAAGGCAGTCTGAGCCTCTCAGATCTTCATGGCCTTGTGGGTTTTCTGCTTAATCCTTTGTGTAATTGAATTTTGCAAAGGGATAATGGGTGGGGTGAGATCAAGATGTTCAGGGAGTGGTTGGTGATGTGGGGTATACTGTGTGGATTATTTGTATGTCTTCAAAAAGCTGTACAACTGTGAGCCAAGAAGCAATTTTAAAGCAAGCATAGATTGGGTAGAGGTGGGAGGGGGGTCCTCCTGCCTAGTTTTTTCCTCACTTTCACCCCTTTTACTACATATTTATTATCTGGAATACAGAGCCACACTTAATCTTTCTCTTACTCCATTTTTCATAACCCAAACCAAACTCTGCCATCAAGTTGATTCTGACTCACAGTGGCCCCTGTTGGGTTTCCAAGGCTGTAAATCTTTTATAGAAGCAGACCACCTCATCTTCTGCAAAGCACCTGGTGGGCTTGAACCACTGACCTTTTGGTTAGCAGCCAAATGCCATTCCCACTACACCACCAGAGCTTTTTCATAACCCAGTGAGGTTTAATAAATGGAATGTTGACTTTAAGGAATAAAGAGGGATAGTCACTCTATCTGGGGCAGGTCTGGGTCACTGGCAGGGTAGAACACTCTAAATAGCAGCCTTGATTGCGTGAAGCTACATGTGTCACCAGACACTGCAGAAATAGCAGTGACCTCAGAACACACCCAACAGGTAGGGTGTACCACCATACTGTCTGCTTCTGGAATCTGGCTCACCCTTTCTTCCTTATCCCCTCTTGGGACCTTAACTTGCCTACCTGATTCCTGTTTTTACCACCCAAGAAAGTCTGAGCATGTTGAAAATACCTGACTTTCTCCCACTAAGTAGTTTTTATTTAAGCTAATCTTGTACAGGAGGAATGAGTGAGTTACCTTCTCAGATACAAACATGGTACCACCACCATCAGAATGGGTTTAGCACTCTTAAGGGTATGGGGGCAATCCTCATACTTGTTCATGAGTAACTGTGTGGACAAGTCTGGTCAGCTGCTGAGTAATAACTCATTGAGGCTGCATAGACAAGTCTCCTAGGGGGCCATCCTTCAGTGAGATACTGGCTCTTAAGTAAACATCCTGTTCTCCCTTCCCCCAAGTAGAAGAGAAGCAGATACGCTTTAAAGGAAAGGAGCAAAAGCAACAAATATCAAAGTTGCTTCTAATACTAGGGGATGAAAAGAGAAACCTTTTGTGCTTACGTATAAGTTTGAGAGAAGGGCATAAAGCTGAAAGTGTTTAGAAATTGATTCTATGGTGACCATACGGTTTTGTTTTTCTGTCCAACTTTTCATTGTTTCCTTACCGTAGCAAGAGCCAAAAGTTGAGAAAACAGGTGTGGGTGGAGGGGCTAGTGAGCTCTGTGGTGCCAACCGAGAATACAGAAGTACTGGCTGCAGTTAGTGTTTGACTCAAAAGGGTGTTGGTTAAACCAGTCCAACTTGGATCTGCTCAGGTTCATAGCAAATTGGATGTTCCAGCAACTTTACTTCCGTGCACCCCTCCCCTTACTCTTGAGAATTAGAAGTCTTACCCATAATTTATGAAAAAGAGGTGCAAGGACTTTGTTGTTGGGGCTTTCTGGTTGGATTTGGTAAGAGAAAAATGGGTAGAGTCCCATCCCTTCTGTTTTCCCCACCTCTGGCTAGAAGTCCTTTATGCCTACATAATACAACACTTAAGGTCCAAAATCTTGTAGGTAACCAATCGTCAAAGCAATAGAGATTAGTAAAGGATTCATTTGAAATCTTGGTTATTGAGTGGGCTGTAGTTGTGTATTGCCTTCTATAGATGTATTTAGGTCCTTCTTTTAGAGTACTTTACTCTTTCCACTGTCTTTTTACTTGAATGAGCATCTAGTGGAGCCCAAGTTGACACATCCCTGCACTGACTCCTGTATCGGGTATTTCACGTTTTTCTCTTGGCCTGACAAAGAAGGGTTGTTTAAAAGGTGGGGGCTTTGTTTATTTGTTTCTATCAGATTCAAGAGATGGCTTGGGGATGGGAAATCTTGCTATCTCCTATTGAGGCATTGTCAAGCAAAGTTAGGGTAAAAGCTTAGCCCTATCCTAGACCTAAGCCACTTAAATTACAATGGAAAATTTGTATAAACCTAATTTCCATGCTACCTACTGTGCCATTAGCCACTTTTTTGGGCCTCAGAAGCATTTAGTGCTAATGACAAACCTTATTTCTTTTACTTTTTAGTATCTTCTACCTATCTCTGGTGCAAGGGAAATTTGCTTTTAAACCCTAAGGTAGATTTGGAAGTGTGTGCTGATACTGATTACAAGTAAAAATGTGCTTTGAGTGGAAAGCATTCTTGTGTATGGTTTAAAGCTATAAAAACAATACTGCCTCACCAAGGCTTTAGCCAACTTTGTCTTTCCTAAAAGTGGATGAAGGCAAAAAAAAAAAAAGTGGATGAAGGCTAAGACTTTCCCAAAATTTGACTAAGGGTCTAGGGCACCCTTCACTGAGGGTCCCCATTTCCTTGTACCTTTATGAAACGTTGACATTATTTCATGCACACTTCTTGTTCCTTGTTTCTCTGATAAAGTTGGTATGACCCCCCCCCCTTTTTTTTTTTTTAATTGAACCCATATCTTCACCCTGTATTAAAGGCTTTGGCCTTAAAGCCTCCTGGTAGTGAGCCCTGGAGAGGAAAAAGGAGCAGTGCTGCTAAACATACACTAACCTGGACCCTAGAGGCAGCATGGGATGGCATAAAAACAGGCTGTGAAATTCAGATAGGCAGGAATTGACTTCTCTGAAGCTGTTTCCATGTTTTAAGGAGAGCATAAAAATAGCTACTACCTGTCAAGGTTGTGTAGGAATTAGTGAAGGCACATAATAGGTGCTCAGTGGTATTTTGGGTTGGGGAGAAAGGTAGTCAAGTTTTGTGGATAGATGTTTCCCAGGCAGGCTAACGGGTTAAAATTCCCCGAGGCTGAGACATATGCTAGTCACAGGTCAGACGTTGTGGAAGAACAGTGACTAATGAATTGGCCTTAGCTAGCTTGCTCGTGTTTGCTTGATGCTTGCTTGCTTGCTTGCTACAGAAAAGAGGAGGGATGAAGTAACTCTTGACATTCCTCCCATCCTCCACTTGTAACACAAGTTACATAGGTCATGATGTAGTAGTTACTGACTGGTATCCCCACAGCATCCAGCTCAGTGCTTACTGCACACAGCAAGCAGCCAATAGGTGTTTGTGGCATGAGTGTAGGAGCCGCCAGCTCAGTATAACTTAGTTGTTATTCTACCATTCCTCAACTAGCCTTACAAAAGAGGACAAGGTACAACCAGGTGAATAACGTATATGTGTCACTGTATCCTTTAGAACTTCAAGTCAGTACAATAAGTACATTCTTAATATTTACTGGGCACCTACCATTTTGTTGCCTGAAATATAGCACTCCCCTGCAGAACCCTGCCTGTTACACTTTCTGAATGCCATTTAAAATTCTCACTACCTTCTCCCCACCACACACATAAGTAATCTTGCTCTCCCACAATCAGTCTTGTCTCTCTCTTTTGTATTTCAGAGTGTCTTACATACAAAGATGGAAGATGGAGCCAAGATCCAGAGTGGTGCCTGTGGTCAGATGAACTGCTGCCCTCCCCAGACAGAACCTCTGGCTTCTGTGGAGATCTAGATAAAACTGCTTTCTCTGACAGCTCTTCTTCCACAATTCTTGATACTATCACCACTGAAACTTGAGAACCAACTCTAATCATCCCCACCCCCAGGTGAGGGGACTAGTGGGAATTACTGAGAACCTCACAGCTGTCCCCAAGTCTGTTCCCTTCATATTTTGTCTACTATGAACGCGACTGTGTTTCCATTTTCACTGTGCAAAATTAACCAAGTACACTTAGTCCTGTGTCCTAGATACAGCAGGGAGAGGGAAGAGTAAAGATAAAGTAAATTGAGAGCTAGGTTGGGAATGAGAGAAAAAGGGCTTATTATATAGGAGACAGAGTGCTAGTGTCAGGCACCTTTTACTCAGTTATTTGGAGCACATTGAGAGTAAACTGTATTACCAGAGAAAGAATGAGTGTAAAGACTTGGATTCAGAAGCCAGCATCAGGACTTACTGTTGGACCTTAAATTACTATCTGCAAAATTAAAGACGTGTCTAAAGTCCCTCTTAAGCACTATTATGACAAAACTCCAAGGGCGGCTCTCTGCATATTTATTGTTACAGTCCTGAAAGGTTATGTTTCTGTATTCTAATACCTTGTTGTTGCCCATGCACTATAGTATTTACATAAAATTAACTTCAACAGTTGGAAATGATAGATACTATTACTCCCATTTTATAGATGAGGAAATTGGGGCATAGAAAAATACTGAAAATTACATAGCTAATTGCAGATCCATTAGGTCTGGGTGGCTCCAAAGCCCACTCTATTGTTTTCTTTCAGTAAAAGTAATGTAAAAGAAAATTTATGGTTAAAAACAAATGACCAGCTACCCTTTTTCAGCCACTCTCGCCCTCAAGAATTCTAGTCCTGTCGTGAAGGCTGCAGGATACTTTATTCCTACTTGGAGTTTCAGCTGAGAAATAGCCGGCTTCACGGTTGCCAGTATGTGTAACAGCTTAGTTCTTCCGGGTAGCCGGAACTACACACACCACTGCTCTTGCTGTGTGGGGTGTACCTCTTCGGAGTTCCTGAAGGTGGGGCGAGACAAGAGTGGCAGCTGTAACAACCAATAGGCAGGGACATTGTTGGGCCAGAAGCCAATGAAAATCTGGTAAAGGAAAAGCGGCGATAATCTGGCCATGTAGAAACCGTTCTAAAGGAACATGGGGATTTCTCAGAAGTGGTCACGGCTTCGGCTCCCATGGTTACATGCCTGTGGGCTGCACACGGTGCGTGAGGTATCCAAAGGTTCCGAAGCACATTTGAATCAGCTGATTTGAAACTTAAGGTGTGGACTCGACTCAAACTGATGCAGCTTCCATACCTTAAGAGTCCCCATAAGGGGCTACTCTAGCCATAGACATTCCATTTGCCGCCAAGGGTCAACTACCTGGGGAGTTCAGTACCCCTTAGGGCACCCGGCCTAGGGCTCTGTATCTCTCCCGGAGCCTTAAAGGATTTAGGACCAAAGCCACATAAATAATCTCATATCTCACCCTCCTAGTCCCAAAAAAGAATGATGAGACCTCTTAACCCATCTTTCCCTTCAGGCAGCTGTGCCGATCCTTCCACACTGGTTGACAGAGAGACTTGGTCTTTTTGAGGAGCTATGGGCTGCTCAGGTAAAGAGGTCCGCAAACATGGCCCAGAAGGAACATCGGACTATTAAGATAGCACTTCCTGGAGACCAGAAAGTGGATGCTGTGTCATGGAATACAACCCCTTACCAACTAGCCCGGCAGATCAGGTACCAGGCCCATCCTCTACCTCCTAGGATCATCTTCCTGCCTTTAAACTACTTTTGTACACAAACAGAAAGAAAACTAGGTCTACTTGTTTTTACTCCATTTCAATCAAGATAGCGTTTCTTGAAGATTCATTTTATCTGCATTTATTTCACAATTTCTGCTCTTTTTCTATTGTCCTCTGGGGAAAGAAATGATAGGTTAACTCTTGCCCCAGGATTGCAAATTTGGAATTACTGAGATTAGTCCCTCCCTAGCCCTGTGGATTGTAACTGTGTCTTTTTCCTCACCCCTACTCCTCATCGCTGAAGTTCAACACTGGCAAATACTGCAGTGGCTGCTCAAGTGAACGGAGAACTTTATGACCTGGATCGACCCTTGGAGACAGATTGCAACGTCAAATTTCTGACATTTGATTCCCCAGAGGGGAAAGCGGTAAGTTTAGTCCTTATCAAGAATACAGTGGCTGCTAGACTGTAATACATGCCAGCAGGGACTTCTAGCATTTTTCTTTGCCTTAGTTTCTCCATTTATAGTTAGGAGGGAGAACTACCACAGATAGTGCTTGCTTTCGTTTTTTTAATATTATGTTTAAGGTGAATGTTTACACAGCAAAGTAGGTTCCAATTTAATAAAATTCTACACAAATTATTCAGTGATATTGGTTACATTTTTCACACTGTGTCATCATTCTTATTCATTCCATTCAGGTTGTACCATTTCTAAATTTCTCTGCCACTTTGCCTTCTCATCTTTGCTGTAATTTTTGACCATTTGTTATCATATAGATGATTTTTTAAAGGAGCTTATTACTCATGGGTGATATTCTTTATTTCATGAGTCAGTCTGTTATTTATCTAAAAGTTGATCTCAAGGAATAATTTTGGTTTAAAGTTTAAAGTGTATCTCAGGAAGAGTCTTGGTGAGTCCCCTACTCTCAATTGGTCCAGTAAGTCTAGACTTCTTAAGAATTTGAATTATGTTCCGCATTAATCTCCCATTTTGTAAGGATCTATCTATTACGGACTTGTTCAGAATGGTCACCAGGCACCATCTAGTTGTTCTGTTCTCCAGATAGATGAGGCTGTGTTTCATGTAGACTGTTGTTAGTCCTATAGACTACTTTCTTTGTCGAGTTTTTGGTTTCTTTCTTTCTCTTTTGTTCCACACGAGTAGAGACCAATAGACTGTGCTTGTTTTAACTATTCCCACCTTAGCTGGAAAGCTGTGATGAAAATTTTGGATAGACAGCCTGGATCTATTAAGCAGACATCACTTGTTCTCTTGAAGAGGAGGGATAATAACTTAAAAACAGAAGGATAGTATACTGACTCAATCTCCTTAACTCTTGAACATGCACATTGTAAGTCATTCATAGTGTATATTTAACCCTAACATGGTTTCCACAAACGAGCACACAACCTGTCTAGTCTGCTTCCCTTTTTTGCCCTCTTCATGTCAGCCTTTCTCTATTAGAATCCAGAAAAATGGAGAACTCATGTCTAGGTATGGTGACCAAACTCGTACCTACATGTGAGTGTATCACATCACATTAGAATGTGGAATAGGAGGGGAAAAAGGACTGAAAGTCCAAGCAAAGCCCTAAGGAACTGTTGTTACAGGAAGTTAAATCTGCAGCCCCAAAAGGATATGTGTCACAGGAGCAACAAAAAAACTCTGACTGTAAACTTGCACCCAAATCACAATTTAAAAATAAAAGAACACTGGCCTTTTGTCACCAGGCTCCAAAATACTGGCTTTTTGCTTTCTTTGCTGTTAAGTCCATTTTTTTTTTTTTTTTAACTTTTTACCATTTAATGGTCACCCCCCCAAGGTTTAGGTTCTTCATTTGTGGTCATTATGCCTAGGAGATCCATACTGGTTTTCCCACCAGGTTCTCTGAGAGAGTCAGAGAGCTGGGGGCTGGGAGAAGATTATGAACTCATGAACTCCTTTCGTTTGAACCCAGGTGTTCTGGCACTCCAGCAGTCATGTCCTGGGGGCGGCAGCTGAACAACTCCTAGGTGCTGTTCTCTGTCAAGGTCCAAGTACAGAATGTGGTTTCTACCATGATTTCTCCCTGGGAAAGGAGCGGTAAGTAGTGCAGGGAAGGAGGAGAATGGTTCAGGAGTGCCTGAGGCTTTGGGAATGTGCATTTTGGAAAAGAAAACTAAGAAATGGCTGTAGCATCACATAGCATTCTTGCCAGAACTGAGAGTATCACTGAGTTTAATGGTCTCCAGGCTGGGAGAAGGTGCCCATAGCCCCTCCCCCCACCATCATCACTATCCTTTAAGATGCATATTGGATGCTTAGACAGTGCTTGGCACATAATAGAGAGTCAGTGTCCATCATTGTCTTAGCATTATTGTTGTAATTTCCCCCCAGGCCTCACCTTTGACATTGGTACCACCTTCTCTGCTAGTCCATGTTCTTCTCTTGTGTCTAACTCTGCTTAAAACTTACCTCCTTTAACCTTTGTAAATTCTTCAAATGTTACTTTGAACATTACTACTGCTCTAATTTTGTCCAGCCATATTACCTGCACTTACCTTTAAATTTCATGCGTACAGCTTTTTCTCCATCTGTAAAATCTACCTGATATTCTATTTCTATTTTCTTTGAGTCCGTTTTTTAATCAGTAATTGTAGGTGTTTCCAGAAGGCAAGACTTCAACTCCTACTCCCACCCGCTGGGCCACAGATATGTTACTGTGGTGATGTTTCGTAGATGATGTAAGCCAGCCAACTTCCTCTCCTCTTTCTAGCACTATCCGGGGCTCAGAGCTGCCTGTTTTGGAGCGAGTTTGCCAGGAACTTGTAGCTGCTGCTCAACCCTTCCGGCGGCTAGAGGCTTCCCAGGATCAGCTTCGCCAGCTTTTCAAGGTAGGGTGGAGAAGCACAGTTTTAAAAGAAAGATCCAGAAACATAAGGGAAAAGATGGTTCTCTTCCAGGACATCTTTGTGGAAATGAAGACTTGTCTTCACTCTTTCTTTTTGCCTTCCTCCAGGATAACCCCTTTAAGCTTCGCCTGATTGAGGAGAAAGTGACAGGTCCAACAGCAACAGTATATGGGTGAGAGTTATAAAGTTGAGGAAACAGGGAGAGATGGGAAAGCAGCAAAAGAAAGGCCAAAAATGGGATAAGGGAAAGAAGATAGAAGGTAATCTGCATTTCTCCAAAGGAAGAAATGGGAACAGGAATTAATTTTTATCTAACAGTGCTCTGTAGAACAAGTCCTGTCTGCCTCCTCTTTCTGTCAGCAAATGGACACGAGAGGGAGAAAATCAGAAGCTCAAGAATTTGGAAAAAGTAACTGGTCCCTTTTTTCTTCCAGGTGTGGCATGTTGGTTGACCTTTGCCGGGGCCCCCACCTTCGGCATACTGGACAGATTGGAGGACTAAAGCTGCTAACGGTCAGTTATGAAGTCAGGATTAGGTCACTGGAGTGAGTAAAGGAGTGGTAGATGAACCTTTCTTTCAGTCCCTTCTCTACTCTGATAGCTAAGGGAGGAATCCAGAAGGAAAAAGAAATGCAGTCCTTGCCTTCTAGAAACTCCACTCTGCTAGTAGACCCTGAACATCTTGCCAGGACGCAGAGCCAGTTGAGATTCTATAGTTGGACATGAGTACTAAGAGAGAAGGAGAGGGAAGGCACGAGAACGCTGGACAAGGCCACATGGGGAAGGCTTCTTTGAGGGAGGTGATATGCTCAGGCACAGGCAGAATGCTCTTAAGTCAAAGACATACTTTTGTATAGTGAGCAGTTAGTGAGGGGAGAGGCAGATGTGTAGGGCATTATAAAAATGGCATAGTAGGAAAGGTGTGTGACCTCCTCTAACTTCACAAGGGGAATGGAGAATCAAGATCAATAGCCCAAGGCTGATTCCTATGAGGTGGAGGGTCAGACATGCTTCCTCCCCCAAACTTTTTTTTTTTTTTTTTACCAATTTGGACACCAACTGCCCTGCCCACAGCACTCTCTACTTCTCTGCTAGGCTCAAAAATTTGTTGCAGTGGTCACACAGAACTCACAGACTATCTTCATGATTATGGAGTTTATTAGAGAAGTAACAGGATATAACTCAGGAAGAGAATCAATTTAGAATTAATAGTAACAACTCAGAATACAGTTCTCAATTGGGACACCTTCTCTTCATGCTGTGCCACTGGGCCCTGTTCAGGCCCTTCTTGGGCAAGTGTTACAACTATTAGCTACATGGGTCAGTGAACCTAGCTCCATCAAGTGCCTAAAACACCCCACTCTGCCAGCAAGCGTCCTGCCTGAAGGTATTTAACTTTCTTGCTCCATGGATTGTGAAGCCTACCGTGCCATCTACTGTTAGTCTTCTGGTTCTGCTGCTACCATTTCTCTGCTACTGTTTCTTGCCATTGTCTCTTGCTGTCTACTATGTTACAACTCTCCTTCTCTCTGTCTCCTCAGTCTAAGAGCTTCCCAGCACAGGGACCCTGGGACCAAAGAATGCACTATACTCCTTGCTCTTCTTTCTTGGTGGTTATGAGGTACCCCCTCTGCTTTGGAATTGGCTTTCTTTTAAGCCTAGTGCAATGGCAAAACTGACCAGCCCCCTCATTAGAGTTCCGTACACATTATTTGCATGGTCCCACCCCCACAAGGGTGACGTGAACCGTATTTGCATTGGCAAGCTAGCCAGTCACCTTGGTGGGCCATAGGCTCTTCATTTGCATATTCTCATGCAATCATTTAGTTGGAATTACAAAGACTATGGCTAGAAGAGCTGTATTAAGTAATTCACTGCACTACAGGCCACCCCTGTCTCTTCTAGCCATTGGCCTTTTCATACTTGAAGAATTAACTTCCCCTCTCTCCGTTTTGCCAGTTCAAAACAGTCATTAATAATTCGTCCTTCAGGAAGGCAAAGAGATCTCAGGGTGAGGTTACTCAGGTACCAGCCACTCAAGTCTGCTGCAGATATTCATCTGATCTGGTCAGGTTCTCCAAAAGTCATCTCAGATTCATCCTTTCTAGTGTCTCATAAAATTTACCTAGGAGATTATTCCCTTGCTCTGAGCCTTATAGAGTATTAACACAGCAAAACCTGTAAGAGACTTTAGGTCAGGCCAGTATACTCCAGTCCAGTAGTGCCTCCCTCTTAGTCCACACTTTTCACACTTAACAGCTTCTATAATTACAGTTTTTATAATCACAGTTAACCCTGTTAACAGCCAACACTCACAACTGAATCATATGATCCTATCAGCATCTTCCCCTGCCCTCTCTTGCCCAGGCCTCTCAGGAAAAGGGAAATTTATTTCAGTGCAGGTCCTCTTATTCCCCCCCATTTTGAGCATAAGCATACTCACGAAACTGTAAGCCAGCCACTTCATGCTTTATCTCCCCTCATTTTGCATAGGCAATTTCTAAATTGCCCATCCCTATCAAACCAATACTCTGAGGAGACAGTCATGTTCCTTGATCTGAGAATCTTCTGTTCTGGTTGAAACTTTGCATATCTATATCTGTAAGCAAAGTCCAGTCCAGACCAAGTCATCACATTGCAGCAGTCTACACCAGCTCACAGTGTTAAACATCTTTCTCTTCATCGGGTCAGGTTCTGATCAGCTTGTCCCTAGCCCTGTAAGCCAGGTCAGTGAGTACCAGCTATAGGCTGGGAAGTCCACACATCTTCCTGTACTTCAGACCAGCCAGCCCCTTCTCTGTCTCATCCCTAGCCCTTGTGAACTATGTCAGCAGACATTACTGAAGGCTCAGGGATCCACAAACTCCCTGCACTTCAGACTGTTGTTATGTGCCATCGAGCCCGACTCATAGTGACCCCTCCTTGGGTTTCCAAGGCAGCATCACTACAGAAGTAGATTGGCCCATCTTCCTTCCGAGGAGTGGCTGGTGGATTTGAACCGCCAGCCTTCTGGTTAGCAGTCAAGTGCCTTAGCCACTATGCTACCAGAGCTCCCACACTTCAGACTCTCATCTCTAGCCCCTGTGGGCTAGGTCAACAGGTTTCTAAAGGAACACATTCAGACTCAGCCTATCTTGCTGCACCTCCCCTACTTCCACTCATTGAGTGAATCCAGGTGGTCACAACAAGTTATCATACCAGGCTGTCTACTCACCAGCTCCCTTTAACTTCCATTCGTGGAAGGGGGTTCTTCTCAAGGGCACTGATTTGTTTGCCTGGGTGCATCCAGTAGCAAAATTCAAAAAGCAAAATAGTCTTTTTTAGTCTTTTTTTTTGCTATAAGTCCTTTCAAATGCAAATTTCCTGCTCTCAGCAGTTCTGGGTAAGTCTGTATGTAAATTTCCTGACTGAAGGTTGTGGGTAGGGCTCAGGTTTTTGGCCTGAGCCCCCAGTACTCTATACATAAGTTACTGCATGCAAACAAACAGCTTGTGTTTCTTTTGGGCAAATCCTAGTTCCCCTTTTAGCATATATCCAGTCAAGTATTGGCTGAAGGTAGTGTTACATGCTGTATGCTGTATTTCTTAATATTCGTTTCCATTTATATATTTATGGGAGCTCTGGTGGCATAGTGCCTAAGGCCTAAGTTTGGTTTTTGGTTATTGTATGTTTAGGTCTGTGCTCTGGTGTCGTAGTGCTTAAGGCATTTGACTGCTAACCGGAAGGCTGGCAGTACAAACCCATCAGCCACTTCTCGGAAGGAAGGTTGGGCAGGCAATCTACTTCCATAGTGATACCACCTCGGAAACCCAAGGAGGGATCGCTATGAGTCAGATCCAACTCGATGGCAGTGAGTTTGGGTTTTTTTTTTTTTTGGTTTTATACAACACTAGGTCAGAGAAACATTCAATATCCATAAACCAAAAAAACCCAAACTCACTGCCATCGAGTCAATTCCAACTCATAGCGACCCCATGCAAAAAAACACAAACTCACTGCCATCGAGTCAATTCCAACTCATAGCGACCCCCTTTGGGTTTCTGAGGCAGTAATATATCTTTACAGAAGTAGATTGCCCAGTCTCCCTTCCGAGGAGTGCTGGTGAGTTTGAACCACCAACCTTCTGGTTAGCAGTCAAATGCCTTAGGCACTACACCACCAGAGCTCCTACAATATCCATAGTACATTTAAATCCAGTTTCATCTTTTCTTCCCGACATCTTGACTTTTGTCCTGCTCATATCCACATGGCCTTGGTACTTTGGGTAGAAGGAGAAGACCCTAGCCCCCTATCAGTCATCTTGCTTTTTGGGCCTGATTTTTGCCCCAGGCCACTCCAGAAGTAGTTTTTCTATCCTTCATTTTCCTATCTGATACTCCAGCATGCTGTTGTTGTTATGTGTTATCAAGTTGGTTTCAACATATAGCGACCGTATGTACAACAGAAAAGAACACTGCCCAGTCCTGCACCATTCTCACAATCATTGCTATGCTTGAGCCTGTTGTTGCAGCCACTGTATTGATCCATCTCATTGAGGGTCTTCCCCTTTTTTGCTGACCCTCTGTTTTATCAATTGTGATATCCTTCTCCAGGGACTGGTCCCTCCTGATGACATGACCAAAGTATGAGGGATGAAGTCTAGCCATTCTCACTTTTAAGGAGCATTCTGGCTGTACTTCTTCCAGGACAAATTTGTTTGTTCTTCTGCCAGGCCATAGTGTATTCAATATTCTTCATCAACACCACAATTCAAATGCATCAGTTCTTCTGTGGTCCTCCTTATTCATTATCTGGCTTTCACATACACCTGAGGCTATTGAAAAGACCATGGCTTGGATCAGACACAACTTATCTTAGTTTTCAAAGTGACATGTTTGCTCTTTAACACTTTAAAGAGGTCTTTTGCAGCAGATATACCCAATGCAGTAGGTTGTTTTATTTCTGCTTCTGTGGGGAAAAAAAAGGAAATTGATCAACATTCAGCAATTTCAGGAGATAGCATATGATCAAGAACTGATGGTATTGAAGAAAACCAAGCTGCACTGAAGGAATTGGCTAAAAACAAGGCTCTCTGAATTGACAGAATACCCATTGAAATGTTTCAACAAATGCATGTAATGCTGGAAGGATTCACTCATTTATGCCAAGAAATTTGAAAGACAACTACCTGGCCAACTGACGGAGAAAACCATATTTGTGCCCATTCAAAGAATGGTGATCCAACAGAATGCAGAAATTACTAAACAATATTGGTTTTGACTCATGGCAACCATATGTACAATAGAAAAAAAAAAACACTGCCTGGTCATGTGCCATCCTCACAATTGTTGCTATTTAAGCCAAGTAAAATTTTGCTGAAAATAATTCAAAAAGGGTTGCAGCAGTACATCAACAGAGAACTGTGAGAAATTCAAACTGGATTTAGAAGAGGATGTGTGTTTTGGTTACCTACTGCTGCTCTGACAGGAATATACCACAAATAGGATGGCTTGAACAAACAGGAGTTTCATTCTCTTACAATTTTGTAGACTTTAAGTCCGAGTTCAAAGTGCCAGGCTCTTTGTGCTTCAGCTCTGCCTCCTGCTCCCAGCCTACTGAAGCTGGAGGCTTTTCTTCACTCAATTGCTGGCTGCTGAGGCTGACAAACCCAAGGTTGACAAGTAAAAAGGCACAATCCCAATGTTACCAAACAACATGGCAGGCCACTAATTCAAGTCCAGATGAAGTCCCAAGATGGGCAGGGCATGGCAGGCTGTTGAACAACAACTTGGCTACACTACATGCAGGGTTCAAGCATGCCAAAAGGCTGGAGACCAAGCCCAAAGCTGCTACTTATATATGGGAAGCAGACCACATCCCTAATCCAGCTACTCAGCTACTTGTAGATCCCACCATCTAGTTTATTGCCAGTCTCATTATGGGGAGTAACTACCACCAGCTGCCCAGCCACTCAACCAGGTCCAGCCAAGTTGATATACCAACCTTAACTACCACAGTGTGGAACAAGGGACATCACTGCTGATGTCAGGTGGATCTTGGCTGAAAGCAGAGAATACCAGAAAGATGTTCACCTGTGTTTTATTGCCTGTGCAAAGGCACTCAACTGTGTGGATTATAACATATGGATAACATTGCAAAGAATGGGAATTCCAGAAGACTTAATTGTGCTCATGAGGAACCTGTACATAGACCAAGAGGCAGTCAGTCATTCAAACAGAACAAGGGGATACTGCATATTTTTAAATCCGGAAAAGGGTATGTCAGGGCTGTCTTTCACCATACTTATTCAATCTGTATGCTGAGCAAATCATCAGAGAAGCTTGGGCTATACGAAGAAGAATGACATCAGGATTAGAGGAAGACTTGTTAACATGCAATATGTGGATGACACAACCTTGCCTGCTGAAAGTGAAGAAGACTTGAAGCATTTACTGGTAAAAATCAAAGACTATAGTCTTCAGTATGGATTATGTCTCAACATAAAACAAAAAGCCTCACAACTGGACCAATAAACAACATCATGATAAATGGAGAAAAGTTTAAAATTGTCGTTTTATTTACTCTAGCATAGTATCTCTTATTTTCTTTTCAGCTGTTAACAGATGACAACAATGAAAATCAAAATAAAATGTTTCACTTCACGGACCCTTCATTTTTTCTTTGACAAAGTCTCATGAGTCTGGAGCCATTGCAGAGAATGCCATGCTACCAGCTATTAAAATGTTTTGGCAGCAGTGCCATCTAACTTTTCTAACTTCACAAGGGGTAAGGAGAATCAAGATCAATAGTCCAAGGCTGATTCCTATAATGTGGAGGTCAGACATACCTCCACCCTCCAACCTTTTTACTAATTCTGACACCAAGTGTCCCTCGCAAGGTACTCTACTTCTCTGCTGGATTCAATAATTTGTTGTAGTGGTCACACAGCACTCATACACCATACTCACGATTATAGGGTTTATTAGGGAAATAACAGGATACAACTCAGAATACTGTTCTTAATCAGGACAGCTTCTTTTCATCCTCTGCTACTGAGCCCTGCTCGGGGCCTTCTTGGGCAAGTGTTAAAACTCTTAGCTTTATGAGTCAGTGAGCTGCTTTGTACAGTGCCCAGAGACACCTCACTCCACCTGTAAGTCTCCTGCTTGTAGGCACTCAGCTGTTTTGCTCTGTAGGCCAGGAAGCCCATGGCCTTATCTCCCATCTGTCTCCTGGTTCCACTACCGCCATTTCTCTGCTTCTGCATTTCACCATTGTCTCTCACTGACTTTCATGTTACAGCTCTCTTTCTCTCTGGCTTTTGGATGTAAGAGGTTCCCAGCTCAGGGACCCCAGGACTAAAGAACATGCTCCACTCCTAGCCATTCTTTCTTGGTGATTATGAGGTCCCCTTCTGCTTTGGAATTGGCTCTCTTTTAAGCCTATCAGGATGGCAAAACTGACCAATGCTCTCATTAGAGTTCCATACACCTTATTTGCATGGTCCCACCACTCAAGGATGCTATGAACCTTATTTACATTATTAGCAAGCTATCCAATCCCCTTGATGGGGCACAACCACATCATTGCATATTCCCACCCAGTCATTTGGTGAGAGTTACAAATACTCTGCCTAGAAGGGCCATATTAAATAATTCCCTACACCACAAGCACAAAGCCCTGGACTGAGAACCTTACCATTTACACTTAGTCCTGGCTCTGCCATAATGGAGTTGTAGCATTGGGTAAATCTCCTTACCCATTTTCTCCATCTATAAAATGAAGTTATTAATGCTTGTGCTACCAATGAATCCATATCATAACCAAACCAAACCTACTCCCACTGAGTCAATTCTGACTCATAATGACCCTGTAGGGCAGAGTAGAACTGCCCCTAGGGTTTCCAAGGAAGCAGACTCCCTTATCTTTCTCCTATGGAGTGGCTGGTAGATTCAAACCACTGACCTTTTGGTTAGCAGCCTAATGCTTTACTATGCCACCAGAGTGCCTAATCCACATCATGGAAACAAGGAAAACCAACTAATGCGTGAGGAAGCGTCAGAGAAGTTAAAAGTGCTGTAAATTGTAGGCTGCATCTCATTATCACTATTATTAAAGGAATCTAAAAGAACAAGCAGAAGCATTTGAATTTCTGTGTGTGGGAGAATGCATTTTCTAGCCGCTGTATAGGAGATTGATGTGGAGATGGGTAGACTGAATTTGACCAGAGCTAAGAGTTACTTCCCTGAGCAGCCACTGGTTAGAAGAAGAAGAACTAAGTGCAGGGGTCCTGGCAGTGTTAATGAGAATGGGGACAAAAAGAAGTGGCATTGTAAGGTTAGACTTGACCAGGACATACATAGAAATCAAGAGTCAGGTAATTCCAAGGCTTTTAACATAGCAAGACACTCTAGAGGAGAGAGATGTCCACCCTGCTAGAGGTGATGGTAGGAAAAGGAGTGGTGAGAGGAGAGGTGGGATTTTTTTCAAGTGTGATGCTTACACTGAAAGTTTCATATAATGATTGAAAGGGGTTTTAGGGTGACGTCGGTCCTCCCATCTTCCCTCTGATTCTCCATATCTTCCCACAGAACTCCTCATCCTTGTGGAGGTCTTCAGGGGTCCCACAGGCACTGCAGCGAGTGTCAGGCATTTCCTTCCCCACGGCAGAGGGGCTGCAGGCCTGGCAAGAATGGAGGGAGGAAGCAGAGTTGCGGGACCACAGGCGCATTGGAAAGGTACAAAGATTGGAAAATAGGGAGGGATGATGATAGGGGCTGGAGAAAGAGGAAGCAGCTTGATTGTGAAGTTGGGAGCAGATTCAGAATCAAACAGACTGAGCAGCCTTGTTATTTGTTTCTTCTGGGTTCCAAAGTACTTTCCCTCTTAAACTGACTTTACCATTCCTGAACCCAGGAACAGGAGCTCTTCTTCTTCCATGAACTGAGCCCCGGAAGCTGCTTCTTCCTACCACGAGGGACAAGGGTATATAATGCACTGATGGCTTTTATCAGGGTAAGAGGAACCTGAGGCCTGAAGAAGAACAGGTCAGGGCTGGGGTCTAGAAGGAGCCAAGGTGTTACAGTCGATAGAAGGGTATTGGAAACATGAATATAAGCATTGTAAAGTGCTGATGATTTTTATCAAGGTATTAAAAATGTGCAACCTGCAGCGGGGGACATAGAAAGGGGACATGGTATTTAATAGTGGTGACTGTGATCCACATCCCCAAGGGCCCCAGGAGAATCAGACAGCTGCCACTCTGCCTCCTCTCCTCGTCACTCTGACCTTCCATGTCTGTACCCTCTTCTCTAGGATGAGTATGCCCACCGTGGTTTCTCAGAAGTAAAAACCCCAACATTGTTTTCTACAAAACTCTGGGAACAGTCAGGACACTGGGAGCATTATAGGGAAGACATGTTTGTCCTACAGCCCCCTGGCTCTGACAGACCTGCCAGCTCCCTGAGTGACCACCTCACAAACCATCAAGCCCACTCCACCATTGCCCTCAAGCCCATGAACTGCCCTGCACACTGGTAAGCTGGAATCTAGGAGGCCTGGTTCCTCCCAGATTAAGACAAGGCAGCTGAGCTGTTAAATATTTAGAAGTAGAGCATTGGAAAGGATATTTAGACACCTGAAGTGAGCTTTGAATGTGTTCTATAGCTAGCCATGGGAACCTGGGAAAATCATTGTATCTCTCTAGGTCTTAGTCTCCTTATTAGTAAAATCAAGGATTTGGATTTTCTATCTTAAGGTTTCTCTTTCATCGCAGTGCCTATCATCACAGAACAAAATGAAAAAGAAAAAAAAAACAAACCTCCTGCCATAGAGTAAACTCCATCACAGAAAAAGGACACAGTAAATTACTGCCTGTATTTTTTTTGTTACTGAGAAATTCACTTGTAAAGTTGGCAGGGCTCAGGTTATGACGAGTGGCCTTGACAGGACTCGGTGGCAGGGCATGCCAAAGCTGGGGAGGACATTAACTGGAGGTGCAGAGAAAGCAGGCAAGCAGATCGGGCAGAGGAGACATCTTTGGGGGCTGGGTCTCCCTGTGGTCTTGACCCTTCCCTACCTCACCCTCAGCCTGATGTTTGCCCACCGGCCCAGATCCTGGCGAGAGCTGCCCCTGCGACTAGCAGACTTTGGGGCCCTGCACCGTGCTGAGGCTTCTGGTGGCCTAGGAGGACTGACTCGCCTGCGATGCTTCCAGCAGGATGACGCGCACATCTTCTGCACCCCGGATCAGGTGGCCCTTCTCCAGCTCCACCAAAGCATTTTATTTATTTGTTTGTTTCTGATCATTTATTTTGTTGTTGTGAGAATATACACAACAAAACATACATCAATTAAACAATTTCTACATACACAATTCAGTGACATTGATTACGTTCTTCATGTTGTACATCCATTCTTGCTATCATTTTCCAAATCATCCCACTGCCATTGCCATAAAGGGTTCCTAGCTAATCTTTCCAGCTGTTGTTGTCATTTGAACCCATGTAGATAGTTCGTAAAAAGAGCATACTGCTCAAGGCAAACATTCCTTACTAATTAAATTACTGTTTGGTTTAAAGGGAATATTTTTTCTACCAAAGCCTTTAAAACAGCCTTCCATTTTCCATTTGAGCTTCCAACATCCCTGACCTTCAGCTGCCCTCTTTACATACTATAATTCAGCTACATTCTACCCCCAGCTTTTTCTCTGCTACCTCGTTGTACTTCTGCTGTTTTCCCCAAACTACCATCACCCCCATATCTCCAGCTGACACACAGCTCACTCTTATTTCTTGTCTGCAGCTGGAAGCAGAGATCCGAGACTGCCTTGATTTCCTCCGCTCTGTCTATACCGTACTTGGCTTCTCCTTCCGCCTAGCACTGTCTACCCGACCCTCTGGCTTCCTAGGAGAGTCTTACCTCTGGGACCAGGCTGAGCAGGTAAGTAGGAGGTAGGAAAGCAAAGGCAGATAAATTGCTCTCCAGTGAAAAGGGAGGGGAGACAGGAGCCAAGAACCTCAGACAGAGGCATATTCTGAAGGTGTCATTTATTGGGCCGGAAGGGATATATTGCTAATAAAAAGTCTAAGATGACATGTTCTTTTTTGATATCATTACTTTTATAGGTCCTTCAACAGTCCCTGGAAGAATTTGGAGAACCCTGGGACCTCAGACCTGGAGATGGTGCCTTCTATGGGCCTAAGGTAAGCTGGGAATTCTGGTTAGAGTTATGTTTATTCATTTTTCTTTTTTTAAAATTAAATATAGAATAGGTATAAAGGACTATTTTTTAACTTGTGTAGGACGTAAAGAAGAGTAGTATAGTTCCTGCCCCCATGGACCTTGTAGTGTAGTGAGGGCTGTCAGTATGGTGGGCTCAGTGCTGTGTGGGTGCAAAGGGTGTGTAATATCAGGGGTCAGGAAAGAATTCCTGCAGGAATCTCTTTCCAGTGTGAAAGTTGAATAATCATTGGCCAAAGGCATTCAACTCACATGGCAAATTGGAAGAAGTCAAGGGAAATAAAATGACTAAAAAGTATCTGCTGGATTTAGTAAAAAGATGTTAGGTTTGGTAGTGTCATTTTTGGTAAAATGGGGATGGGGATGGGTATCGGGGTATGGAGCCAGGCAGAAATGAGTGAATGAACATAATTCTTTCAAGAATTTTGGCTATTGGCATTCCATTACTAGATATATGTCCTAAATAAGTGAGAGCCATGATAAGAACAGACATATGCACACTCATGTTCATCACAGCACTATTTACAATAGCCAAAAGATGGAAACAACCTAGGTGTCCATCAGCTGAGGAATGGATAACCAAACTGGTACATACACACGATCGAATACTATGCAACCCTAAACAATAATGTAGAATCTGCAAAACACCACATAACGTGGATGAACTTGGAGGACATTATACTGAGTGAAATAAATCTATCACAAAAGGACAAATAGTATATTAGTCCATTATTGTAAAAGTCAAGGAAAGGTTTAGATATGGAAGGAAATTTTCTTTGTTGGTTATCAGGGGTGGGAGGGAACACTGTTAGATAGGTAGAGATAAGTACTGATGTGGGTGAAGAGAAGGGCAGTGTACCAAATGTGAGTGATCAACATGGTGGCATTGAGGAAGAGGAAGACATAGAGAGGTACATGGGAGGTATAGATAACAAAGATGAACCCTTTTGCACATACAGTACTGCATTGTCGGTGAAGGCAAACATGGGTATATGGGTGAATAGATGGGTGTACAGGCTGAACTATTAGGTATGTCTGTGAAGCAGGGAGCGTACTGAAGACCATGTATGGGGTTGGCAGACATTGGTCCTATAAGTATATTTGTATGATCTGTAAGAATTCCCAGATGTATAGTAAAGCTGACAAGGGACAAGGTTGTAGTTACTTCTTGGTCACAGCCAGCTACCCAGAGTGACCGAGTAGTTGAATCGGTGGGCTCAGGACCATAGTCACAGGGGACATCAAGCTCAATTGCCAGAACATACTACACAAAACATTGTTCCACCTCCTACTTAGGTGAGTAGTGACTAGGATCTTAAAAGCTTGCAAGCAGCCATCTAGATGCAACAATGGATCTCTCCTTGTCCAGAGCAAAGAAGAATGAAGAAAACCAAAGATTCATGGAAACAATTAGTCTTAGTGACTGGTACACCATGCGATCTATAGCCTATACGACCATGAGACCAGAAGAACTAGATGGTGCCCGGCTACTACTGTCAACCATTCAGAGGGGGATCTGTGTAGGAAATCCTGGATAGAGAGGGAGAACAATGTGGAACAAAACTCAAAATCATTTGGGAAAAAGAAAAAAAGGGAGACCAAGTTTGCCAGTCTGATAGAGCCTGGTGGAACCCCTGAGACTATGGCCCCTAGCTGCCCTTCAGGTCTGGAATTGAACCCACACCTGTGGCTTCCAGCCAAACAAAAGACAGGCATAGGAGTTGAAGATTTACCTGAGGTATATACACTCCTTGGAGCGAACAATCATGGGAGAAAGAAGGGCTATTTATATACAAGGAGACAGCTCAAGGGACAGGAGTGCATGGAGAAAAGGGACACAGGGAAGAGGTAACTATGGGGGGGAAGTGGGCGGGGAGCTGTTGCATTGGGGTAAATTGTAGTCAATGTCATGAGACAAAGTGTATGTGAACTGTTTATGGAAAGGGAATTTGCTCTGTAAATTTTCACCCAAATCACAATTAACAAAACAAAACAATTTTGGCTGTTGGGTTTTAAAATCTTGGAAGCGGCCATCCAAGGTACAACAATTGGTCTCTATTTACCTGGAGCAACAGAGGAAGGAGAATCAGAAAGAGGAGGAGGAAATGGAACATGTGGCCAAGTGCCTCCATGAACATCTGCCTCTTTTGTCATAAGACCAGAACTGGACGGTGCCCAGCTACCATTACTGAACATCTTGATCAATGATTCTATAGAAGAATCCTGATCAAAAGGGGGTGAATGCAAAAAAGAATTTCAAATTCTTAAGAAATCTAGCATTTCTGGAGCCAATGAGGCTGGATGAACCTCTTGAAATAATATTTAAACTTTAAACCAAAAATAACTCAAGAAGTCTTCTCTAAATCAAACAGTTGTTTAGCTTGATTAGTAAAGAATGTCTGCCTTTAGCACTGTGCTCTTTTAAGAACTATCTATATGGGATCAGATTGACAACTCAGCAGATTAGATAGGAAACTTAGGGGGCTGTGAATTTATGTTAATGAGGAAGAACAATTTGGAAAAGGAGAGTGAGAATGGTCATACAACATGAAGAATGTAATTGATGTCACTGAAGTATACATGTAGAAATTGTTGAATTGGTGTATGTTCTGTGTATATTGGCAACAACAACAAAAAATAAGTAAAATAAATTGCTTTGAATTTTGGCTCTGATAAAGGCAAAGGAGGATCACTGAAGGAGCCTGGATGGTGACAAGAGAGGTTTTTATAAAGGGAGGGACCTGAGAATGTTTGAATGCTGTGATGAGAGGGAGCCTGTGTGGGTGGGGAAAAGCTGAAGTTGTAGGAAAAGGGATTATAGTAGAGGAACATTCTTGGGGAGGTTGGAAGGATGGAATCAAGAGCCCTCCAGAGAAGGGACCACCTTTGCCATTGTATGGGGAGCAGGAGGAAGGCGAGGGGTGGATGCAAGAAGTTTATAGGTATAGTGACAGGAAGTCATTTTCCCATCTCATTATATCAGTAATCTGAATTCTTCATGAGGTAGGAGACAGGATCATTCCCTGAGATGGAAGTGAGGTGGAGGAGAGTTGTCAGTGAGGTGCTGGAAGATAGACAGGAGAACGGTTGAAAATCCCTGAAGTGAACTGGACAAGAGCTCATTGGACCAGCCAGAGCATTGCTGGCAGCAGCAAGGGTTCAGTTGAGATTGGAAATGGTGACTTCCATGGTGGGGTGAGGCTGTGTTTTTGCATTTATGTGGTGTGTAACTTGTTAGGCAGCACTGAGCAGTTCTATTGCAGGGCCAAGGAGGTGGGAAGCTAGGGTGGCCTCAGGTTGGAGTTTTGTTATATGTGTGTGACAGAAGAACAAGGGAACAAGGGAAGTGGGTACAGCTACATGAAGAAGGAAACAAAAGTGGGAAGGGCCTGTGGATGGGAAGAAAAAAGAGGAGTTAAAAGTTCTAGGTTGAAGAACCAGTAATAGGAATAATGGTCAGAGCTGGAAGGCTGAGAGGCAGTAACCAGAGCAGAGTGAGTGGCGGATGGTTTCAGATGTACAGACATTCTGGGCAATGACAAGATGGAGGATATAGCCTTGGTGGGAGTGGGGTGAAGGTCACTGAGATGAGGAACTCAAAGAGTTGAGAAGCCAGGGTATGGATGGGTCATTCATATGAATGTTGATGTCCCTGAAAATACGGTAGGGCTTAGGTGGAGAGAGCCACTGTGAGCCGCTGCCAGGGTCCCCAGTGAGTGAAGTAGAGGATAGATGTGATACAGCTGGATGACATGACTCAAAACAACCTGAGACGTGGATAGGTTGAGACAGTGGTGGCAGGGATAATGCAGGATGCTGGTTCTGGTTTCATATGCTCCCTTCTATCTCCTCCAGATTGATGTGCACCTCCAGGACGCCCTGGGTCGGCCCCATCAGTGTGGGACAATCCAGCTTGACTTCCAGCTACCCCTGAGATTTGACCTCCAATACAGAGGGTATGGGACCTTACCCTGTTCCTTTCTCTCTTGGCAGCCCATGGAGTAGTTGGAGAACAACTCCCTCTTCTACCTTTGGCCCTAAAACCTAAAGCAAATCCTGCAAACCCTCCCCTATCAGGGGCAGCTTTTTCTTTTCCTTTTTTTTTTTTTTTTTTTCTGTGATTTGAGTGAAAGTTTACAGAGCAAATTCCATACAGCAGTTCCATACATTTCCATACAGCAGTTCATACACATTTTGTTCCATGACATTGTCTGCAATTCCCCACAGTGTAACAGCTCTCTTCCCACTTCCTCCCTGTAGTTACATCTTCCCTATATCCTTCTTTTCTAAGCATTCTTGCAGCCTGAGCTATCTCCCAGTGCATGATTGATTTAACCAAGGAGTGTATCTACCTGGTGTAAATATTCACCGTATATGCCTGTCTGTTGTTTGGCTGGAAGCCACGGAGTGAGGGACAGAATATTTCTTGAAAACTGGAAGGTAATCTTGAGGGGGCGGTTTGTAGCACCTTCCCCATTCCTCTATCTCCACCTTTTTCCCTCCAAGGCAGGTGGGGGTTCCAGAGCGGCCAGTCCTCATTCACCGAGCAGTGCTAGGCTCTGTGGAAAGAATGTTGGGAGTGCTGGCAGAAAGCTGTGGGGGAAAATGGTGAGATCTCTGACCCTGATTTCTGTTCTGACCCTCAAACCAGATGTTTCTTCTCCTTTAAGCCCCAGCTTCTATTTTCTTCTCAAGTCTGTTCCCTGTAGCCTCAGCCTCACAGTGCATTCTCACACTCCTGACCAGAGCCACGATAAATAATTTGCCCTCCTTTGTTCTTTCCCAACCAGGCCACTGTGGCTATCCCCATTCCAGGTGGTAGTCATCCCTGTGGGGCCTGAGCAGGAGGCTTATGCCAGAGAGGTGAGGCGTTGGGGCAAGGGCAGAGGCAGCAGCAGGGCTAATAGGGAGTCGGTGCTTAGCAATGGATAGGAAGAGGCCACACAGGGTAGTGGGAAGGATACAGCACTCAGACCTTCAAGACTGGGCTTGAATGGCAGCTGTCTCATATGCTGCCAGTTGCACATGGCCTGGAAGTCTCCATATGAAAAATGGAAGTCATCTCTCCTTGTGGGAAAGTGTGAAAATTCAACAGATTAACAAATGTTAAAAGTCTGTTGACAGTTTTGGCACAAAAGTGGGGTTGGGTGAAATGTTGGTTTTATTTTTCCTTTCTAGAGACAATTGTGGTTTTTTTGGTTAGAGAGAATTGAGGGTTTGGACAGTACAGAGTTGAGCAGCTGGTTGGGTAGAGTGATGCTAGAAGCAAGAATAGTTCAGGGAATTTAGGAGGGAGCTCGTTCTTAGTAGGAGGCAGATGAAAAAGTTGCGAGGGATGGTAATGCGGTGGAGGCCTCAGTATGGAAGGGAAGTGAGGGGCTGTCAGTGAGAACCAGAGAACATTGAGGCAGGGAAAGGAGGAATGGATGGGTCGACTTGGGGAGGATTGGTATCAGATCATTCTAGTTCTTCGACCTTCCATTAACTTAAATTCCTGTCACCAAACCTATGCCCCAGGCACAGCAGAGCCTACAGGCCGCAGGACTGGTTGGCGACCTGGATGCTGACACTGGACTGACCCTCAGCCGGAGAGTCCGCAGGGCCCAGCTTGCTCACTACAATTTTCAGTTTGGTAAGTGGAGTAGCTAAAGCCCAGGATCTCGGAGCCCTAAGCTCTCTCACCCTCTGCATTCTTGTTTGCTGTCTGTTAAGTTTGGTTAACAGCATATTTGAGTTAATTGGGGCTCATTACCTGATAAGAAGGAGCCAGAATTCAGGACACTTGATTCATTTGGGCTGTAGGTTCCTTCACCCCCTAACAAACCTCTGATCCTAAAACAGTTTTCCTCTTATTCTCACCTTGGCTCTTGGTGTCTGTTAGGTTAATTAACCAAGGCAGCATGAGAGAGAAAGGCACTGGAAAGGTTAATAAGATTTTAATTAGTTTTGTTTATCCTAGACCTAGATAGAGTCATCCCTGAGGAGAAAGACTTTAGGGTGAAAAGTCTAGCCCTACCTTGTTCCTGCTGTTTTTAATTTTCCAGGGCTGAGAGCTCTGTCTTGAAGACAAGGAGCAGACTCTAAAGCCAGTTTCCCTGATTCTCTAGTTTTACACCCTACTCACCATGCCAACATTTAGGGCAGGTGCCCCACAATCCCATAATTTCATGGACTTGTATGTGTGTCCCACCTCTGCCATCTTCTCCTTCCTATAATCCTTCCCACCCCACCCCTACACACAGAGTTTCTTTCTCTCTCTGGTTCTTGATCTGTTTGTCTGGCTGGCTGACTCTGAGGGCTCATGCTGGGGCTCCTGACTGAAAATGATAAGGCACATAGGGGAATGAATGGCCATGGGACATGTCCTTATCACCTCAGGATGAACAGAGAACTTGAGAACAAGGGCCAGCTAAATTTATCCTTTCTTTGAACCATATTTGGGCTCTGTTCCTACCCTTCCTAAAGATTTAGGTCTCTTAAATTTCTACACAGTGAAAAAAAATAATCCATATGGATAAATTTGCCCTGAAATTCCCAGACCTCCTCTCTTCTTCCTGCAGTGGTTGGCCAGAAAGAGCAAAGTAAGAGAACAGTGAACATTCGGACTCGAGATAATCGTCGACTTGGAGAGCACAACTTGACTGAGGCTGTGGGGCGGCTGCTGGAGCTACAGAGCACCAGGGTCCCAAACGCTGAAGAAATGTTCTGAGCCTTTGTACATAGATGAAGGCTCTGGGAGCTCCCAGCCTCCCTCAACTGGCCAGGGACAGAAAGGGGGAGCTCAGCAACCCAAGTCAACCAACAGAGCCTGGAATCCCACAGAACCCTCAGACCTTCCCCTGCCTCAGTTCCCTTTTGAACCAAGACTTATTTTGGTGACCATAGAGAAGAGAGGGAAGCTGTAGCTTTTTGGACGTAAAGAGAGTGAAAATAAATTTTAAGGTACCAGGTATGTGTCTTCTTTTTTGACTCTCGAGAGGGAAGATAAATGGAGTTGGACTCTGTCTCCTTCTTTTTGGTCCCAGTGGGTTGGGAAAATTGAGAAGGGACAACCTGGGCCTCTCACTGGTCGGAAAGCTCACTGGGGTGGCTGTTCTGTTCCCTGCTGTAAGCTCCTTAGTCCCCTGTTTCCTCCACCCCAGTTCAGTAGGTTGTCAAACCCTTTCTTCACAGAAAGTAGCATACAGAAGGAGAAATCGAGGCACAAGAAAAGGTCCCAAACATATTTTGCTCCATGACTCTCAGAGTCAGTTTCTCTTGGGGTCATAAGAATGCACCCCTCCCATCACCCCCATTCTTCTCAGTCCTCTGAGGAGGCCCCAGGGTGAGTTTAGGGGGAGGAGCTGCCAGAGGAGGAGCTGCTGGGACTGAGTCACCGCAGGAAGCTGGGGAGGGTGGAGATACAGCCGGACATATAAAAAGGAGAAAAAACTGGCCCTGAAGTTCACAACATCAGTAACATCAACCGGAGAAACAGGCTCCCAGCAGCCCGGCCCTTCAAATTCAGATCTGCCTCAGAGAACCTACCTCCTGGGCGGCCAGTGACCAGTCCTTGCCCCAGGATGGGGACCATGTCCAGAGCAGCCTTGGCCTTGGCCTGTTTGGCTGTTGCTTCTATAGCTTCAGAGGGAGGTGAGTTGGGACTGGAAGGAGCACTTGGGAAGAAGTCCTGGCTGGACTTGGGTCTAGGCATTCTGGATAGTTCATCACCAGCAGAAGGATGCTACCTTTGGCCCCTTTCTTCTCAGCAGGCCTAGCGTGGAGCAGGGCTAATGGAACCTTTAACCAGGAAGGGAGGATCAGAGCAGGAAAAGAGAGGGGTTCCTAAAGATTGCTGCCAAAACCCACAAAATGAGAGTCAAATGGGCAACTACTGAGGGGGTGGGTGGAGTCACAGAACAAGGGGCATTTGTCTGAAAATGTATATGGGACCTCTAGGCAGGGGAGGGAGAAGGAATGGGTCCTCAGGCTATTCAACCGGTTTACTGATCCAGGGAGCCTTGACTGACTTGTAGGGAGGAGTTAAGGGGGTGGCCATCCACAGAAGGCAGTTGAACTGCCAAACACAGATGCACTCTTGTCTGTGTACACTCACATTCTTTATCTGCTTTAGTGCTTGAGCCAAACCAGGAGCACCTGAAGGGAGCTGTGGAGAGAATACCTAGTTTGAGTATCTCTGGAAGATGCTTTCTCACTGTCCTTCCCTCTTTCTATTCTCTCTTACCTGCAGATCAACTAGAAGAGATTCAGTTCCCTGTGGTTGAGGGTATGATTTGCCTCAGGTGTCATGAATCATCCCAGTCCCTCAAGTCCTAAATAGAATCTGGGTAGGAGGAGCTGGGACTAGCAAAAAGGGAAGGCACTTAAACTTCCAGGCTGGGCTCCTTATCAGAAAACCTAAGAGGCCTAAAGGACCTGGAGTTGAAGGGTGGGTGGAGGCGTTTGTTGGTCAGGTGAGGCTCCAACAAGCTCAGGGTCCTGACTTTTTCCTCTGAAAACTAGAGATGCATCACTGCAGAGATGGGAGGAGCACCCAGAAGTCCTGAGGGAAAGACAGGAGATTAGGGCCCCCACACCCCCATATGTCACTTTCCCAGGTTCAGCAGACTGAAGGCTTTGAGCCAGATAAGAGCAGGGACTGTTAAGAGTATCACAGGCTTTCTCAGAACCCAGTTGGTCACATCTAAGTGTGTTTTGGGGGTGGACTAGGTGACACGGGGCAGGAACAATACAGAGGGGTTCCTAGCATCAGTCATCTTTCCATACACATGACCTCCACAGCCTCCCCATCCCTTGCTCAGGGCCAGAGACAAGCCCTTCTAAACTGCCCCTGACTTGCCCCTCCCCTCTACAGGCCTCAAGGCTCCAGGACAGAAAGAACAGAGGCCAGATCACCTTACCCAGAACCCTCAAGAAGGTAAGGGTGTGAAAAGCAGTGTAGGATTGGGGGCCCTGGGAACTGATGTCTCTGACTGTTTCCCCTCTTGCCTCCAGTTGGCTATGCAGCATCCCCATCCCCACCCCTGACCCGAACCCTCCCCAAGGATCACCCTGACACATCTCAGCATGACCCTCACTTTGAGGGGCAGAGAGAAGGTAACTCCTCACCACGTGCCCTTCTCAGTTACCCCTCCAAATTTTACCGAGGCTTGCTTCTTCAGATGGGGATGAGGGAAGTCCCCCCTCCCTTCTCCTTGCCCTGCCTAGCAGAAGGGCTCAACTGCTCACACACTCCCCCTTCTGTAGTGCAGCCCCCTCCCTCCCAGGAAGCCATTCCTGCCCAAGAGGAAGAGCTGCCCCCGCCCCTGCTCCCCGTGGAAAGGCAAGGTGAGTGCTTGCCCCGTCCCTGTCCTCTGCCCCCACCACGGGGCCTCCTGACACCAGGCTGATCCTTGCCCTTCTCTGTACCCTCACTCCTGTCTCTCAATAGGTCGCCCTGTCCCCCAAGAAGCCATCCCCATTCAAGAAGAGCTACCCCCTCCCCAAGTCCCTCTTGAAAAAACAGATGGTAAGTGACTTCTCTTTACCCGTCCATCTGCCCCATGATCTTACGAACATGAGCTTTGGAGGCAGACAAGGCAGTGGACTCTGCCACTTACTAACTAGCTGTGTAAACTTGGGTAAGTTACCTCTCTAAGCCCTAGTTTCTTCCTCTGTAAAACTGGGAAAATAATATCTATTTGATAAATTTATATAACATAAAAAAATAGCATTTATTTATTTATTTAAATTTTTACTGTGATTCTGGTGAAAGTTTACAGAGCAAATTCATTTTCCATACAGCAGTTCATACACATTTTGTTTCAGGACACTGACTGCAATTCCCACAATGTAACAGCTGTCTTCCCACTTCCTCCCCATAGTTACCTCTTCCCTGTGTCCTTCCTTCCTGTGCACTCCTGCCCCCTGAGCTATCTTCCTGTGTAAACACTGCCCTTCTGTTCTCCCATGATCGATCATTCTAAGGAGTGTATCTACTTGATAAAAGTTAAAATAGAATTTATTTTTACTTGCTTCTCCATGAGTTCCTTTTTATGAGTAGAAACTAGCTAAGCCTCCCTCTTCTAAGGATGCCCATCCCAGCATAAGATAGAGGTGGGCTATCACCCTTGCTTACCCATCTCCTTCTACCCCAGTAGACCCACCTTTCCCATATCAGGAGAAGATGATCTTCCAATCTAAGTAGAAAGAGGGTGAGTGACAGCTTTGGCCTGTCCATTCCCCTGCTTTAGAACTCAGAACCTGGGGAGAGGTGCCAAGAACCTGAGCCTTGGGAAGCAGCACAGTGAGCAGGGCCTGATTTAGAGTAGGGGTCTGTGAGGGTGACACCTTTCATGTTTTAATTCTCCTTTTTCTTTCAGTCAATCAATCCCAAGGTAAGAGCCACAAATTAATTCCTTCCCCTTTTCTCTGATGTCTTTCTGGCCCTCTCTCCTCAACCCCAAGTTCTTTCAATCCTCCCAACTCATCCAACCTTTGTCCATTCCTCCACATGTTCCTCCTTCCCACTATTTTCTCAATTCCAGAAAAGCCCGCTCCCTTCACGGGCCAGGGTCACTCAGATCCCAAATCTGGGAATACAGCCCAACACTGCCAACGAGGTCAACCCCGAGAGGGCTGGGGCCACCGGTTGGACGGCTTCCCCCCTGGGCGACCTTCTCCAGACAACCTGAAACAGATATGCCTCCCGTACCGTCGCCATGTGGTATATGGCCCCTGGAACCTGCCCCAGACTGGCCACTCCCACCTCAGTCGCCAGGGTGAGACCCTCAATTTGCTGGAGACTGGATATTCCCGCTGCTGCCGCTGTCGCAGCCCCACCAACCGCCTTGATTGTGCGAAACTTGTGGTAAGGGTGGGCTTTTGATCCTGGGGAGGGTGGTCCTTTGATCCACAAATAGTGTGTTTTCAGGGCTACAGGCCTAGGCCTGGGTGTGGAGGAACCTCAGATCTCTTTCTTTGGCCCTACCTTAGGCCTCCCCGGTGTGCTAAGGGAGATGAAGAGAGCTTTGGCTTCTTTGTTTACATACCCAGATCCTTTTCTGGAGCCTAGGCAGGAGGCAGGAATGTGAACAATGAACTTCTGGGCTAACCTTCCCCTTTTGCTCTAGTGGGAGGATGCAATGACCCAGTTCTGTGAGGCTGAGTTCTCAGTTAAGACCCGAGCCCACTGGTGCTGCAAACAGGAGGGGGAGGCTCGATTCTCCTGCTTCCAGGAGGAAGCTCCTCGACCACACTATCAGCTCCGGGCCTGTCCTAGCCAACAGCCTGGTATTTCCTTGGGCCCCGAGCTGCCTTTTCCCCCGGGGATTCCCACCCTGGACAATGTCAAGAACATCTGCCAACTGAGACGTTTCCGGGCTGTGCCACACAACCTCCCAGCTACTGACCACATCCAAAGGCAGCTTCAGGTTCTGACCCAGCTGGAGCGGGAGTTCCAGCGCTGCTGCCGCCAGGGGGACAACCACATCTGTGTACTGAAGGCCGTAAGTGGGTGTCCCGGCACCCTGACAGCCTGTCTGCCTGCCTGCCCATCTCCGACTTCTGATCCCACCGATCCGTGCATCCATGTACCTCCCCACTGTGAGCACATACGCCTGTTCGTCTGTTTGTTACCATTCATCCGTGCATTGTGTCCGTCATCCGAGCTTGTTCATCCTACACTCCTGACCTCGTCCACCTGTGGTCCACCCATGCACCTGTCTGCCGTCCATCCGTCCAGCTCTGGCCTCGCCTGACCCTCTTGATTTGCCATTTGAGCTCATCTCCTCCCGTGGCCAGCTCCAAACCTCATCTGTACTTCCCGCCCTTCCACCTTCCCAGCTCCACACACCTGCAGCTGCCTTCTTGCCCTCTGGTTTTTTGTCCTCCCCTCCTGGAACCTAGGGCTAAGAGCCCCTCATCTCATAGTCTGGGGCAATAAGGGAAGCAGAGGGCCAGGCAAATAGGGGCCAAGTGTCCAGGTTTCTGACTTCTCTCTTTCTGGCCCACAGTGGGAGGAGACCCTTGATGGATACTGTGACAAAGAGCAGGCTATAAAGACCCACCACTACTCGTGTTGCCGCTACCCCCCTAGCCCTGCCCGAGATGAGTGCTTTGCCCGTCGGGCTCCCTACCCCAACTATGACCGTGACATCTTGACCCTTGACCTCAGCCGAGTCACCCCCAACCTCATGGGCTATCTCTGTGGAAACCACAGAGTTCTCACCAAACAGTGAGTCTTGCCTAGTTCTTCCCCAACTTCTTCCCTTCCCCAAAAACTTTCTTCTAGAACACCCCTGGGAAGAGCAAAATCATGGTTTCCCAGCACCATTTTTCTGCCTAGGGATGGCCAAAGACCCTGACCCCTGCCCCTTTCCTCTGACACAGTAAACAGATTCCTGGGCTGATCCGGAACATGACTGCCCGATGCTGTGACCTGCCATTTCCAGAGCAGGCCTGCTGTGCCGAGGAGGAAGTGAGTGTGTGAGGAGGGAGGATCACAGGCTCCCAAGAAATGCAGGGGAGGGGGTGGAAAGGGCTAGGACAACAGAGCACCTCTCCACTTTAGTACCTCAAATCAGCCTACAGAAGGAATGAAGACTGGTGGGGGGACCTATCTTGGTTCCAGAAGTCTTCAAGCCTGACCTAAGCTGCTCCCTACCTCTAAATTCCCATTATACCTTCTCTGGGCCACAAGCTTCTGGCATTCCCAGATATGTGTATCTGTTGATCACAAGGAATCCAGCTGGGAAAGGAAGCAGCACCCTCTCTGGACTCCAGAAGGTCTAGGGGGAAAAGACTATAGAAGCCAAGGGAAGGGGGACTTTGGACACCCAAGTATCCATGCCCCATCTCTGCTTTACCCTGTTGCTCCTGCCTAGAAATCAACCTTCATAAATAACCTTTGTGGTCCTCATCAAAACTCCTGGCGAGACCCTGCCTTTTGCTGTGACCTGAGTCCTGGGGATAAACAGATCAACTGCTTCAACATCCATTATCTGAGAAATGTGGCTGTAGTGGCTGGAGACACTGGGGATACCAAGGACCAGGGGGAGCAAGACCCAGCTCAGGAAACAAGTATCAGCCCCACCCTAGAGCCCATTGAAGAATGAGTCATCCCTGAGCCTTGGAGGATCTGATGGGGGAACCCCACCCCACCTCGCCCTCCCCAAACACTCGTTACAGTAAACACCTCTTGGATTTGGTTGTTGTCTTTGTCTGTACACACACAAACACACCCTGGTAAGCCTGCCAGGATTTTTGTCAGTGATTGGCCTCTGAGGCCCACTGCCCCATCCCCACTGACTGAGGTAGTTCACAGGTTGTAATGGGATCATTACTAAACAACTTCACTATTTGTCATCTTGGATTTATTCACATATTTTAAAAGGAGCATTACTTTGTTAACTATCAGGATTCAAAGGTGGAAAAGATAAGGTTCATGTCCCAGGTGAGCCCACAAAAATGCCGTAGCCCAGCCTAACATTTTTTTAATACTCACTTTTGATTCTTAAGTCCATGCCCTGATTCATTTAATATCAATTTATTGAGCTCCTATCTGTGTGCACTGTGCTAAACCCTGGGGATACTGAAGTTATTTACAGACCACGAACCAGGAAGGTGTGCTAAGTGTTGACGTGTAGGGTGGCCAGGTCGCTGGTGGGAGTAGGGGTGAGGGCAATGTGGGTGCACTGGGGTAGGCTCTCTGAGTGTGAGGTCAGAGCTGCTCCAGGAGAGAAGGGTGCCAGGGGCAGGAGCCTGCAGACAGAAGGAACAGTCCATGCAGAAGCACCAAGCCCTCGGACAGTGAGATGTGGCCAGAAATGTCTCACCTGCAGGATTTAAAGTGCATCTTGGTGTCTCTGTCCAGGAGGACACTGGAGGTTTTAAGCAGAAAGTGTGTTTAGATTTGCCTTTTAGAAAATCTAGTGGGCTGACAGCCAGGCAGAAACCTGGCGGGCCAGTCTGGAAAGTACTGCCATTTGCCAGAGGGAAGGAGGCTGTGCACCAAACTGTGGTGGTGACTGGCGCTCTCAAGCTCAACGAAGCTGTCCCCAGGAGCCCAGAGTCTTAAGGCTGGAGCTGGGAGGATTGGAATGAGGATTAGGTCCTCGTGAGGCCGGGTCCTCTGAGGGTATTCCTCGGTCCAGTCATGGCAGAAGACGGTGAACCAAGGACCAGTATCCTGCCCCAGCCACGGACAACCCAAGCGCCAAACAAAAATAAACCCACCGCCTTGGAGTTGATTCTGATTTACAGCGACTCTATAGGATAGAGCGGAACTGCCCATAATGCCTACTAAGCCCCAGGAGTTCGCAAACCGACACTCTCCCTCCACCCCCCTTCCTCCACAGCTCTCGCTCTGCACAGACAGCTATTTCTGATTAAGATGCTTCTGAGCGGGTTACTTTGCCAGCTGACTCACCGTACCTGTCCTTCAATTAAAAAAAAAAAAAAACCAACCCACTGCCCTCGAGTCCAAATCGACTCACAGCGACCCCCATTGGGTTTCCGAGGTGGTAAATCTTTATGCAAGTAGGATGCCAGTCTTGCTTCCGCGGAGCGGCTGGTGGGTTTGAACCACCAACCTTCTGGTTAGCAGTCAGATGTCTTAGCCACTGTGTTACCAGAGCTCCTTAAACCAAACTCACTGATATTGAGTCAATTCCGACTCACAGCGACCCCTATTGTGTTTTCAAGGAAAACCGGAAGTATTAATATTGATACAGTCAATAGGGGAACCAATAACCCGCAAGAACAGCGGTGTGCACCGCCCTTGCGCCGTCGGCGCTAGCGTCACGCGCGCGGAAAGTCATTGCGCCTGCGCAGACCCTGATGTCCAGTGCAACTGAGGAACTGATTTGGGGGAAGGTGTTCTCGCTGTTTCCTCCATCACTATGCTTGTCCGCCGTCGGAGCCGGGGTTGTTATGTGCTCTCGGGAAGGTGGCTTTAAAGGGTTTCTGATAGTGCCAAGTGCTAGAGGGTCAGATCCCAACCCCTTGGAGTTTAGTCTATTGCGGAGGAGGGGAAGGGAACCAGAAAAGAACCAGTAAGCAGGTCTAATGAAAGAATAACAAATACTAAGTAGACATAAACATCATGTGCTGAGCGTTAAAAGAAATAATTCTTTCTTGGGGTCAGAGAACTCTTCTTCCATAGAGAAGGTGTCTTTGGAGCCATGTACTTCATCTTTTCTGGCCAACTAAACAGTTAACATTAATAGCAATTAGTTATATAGGCAAACCATTAAAACATAATTTGTTACGTTCAGGGACACATGATAAAGGAATTAAAGCTCCTATCTACTTGGAAGGACCTGGAAACGCTTCATGAATTCAAGCCTGAGCAGGATTTTGCTGGAAGCGGGAGAAGAGGCTGTACAAAGTAAAAAACAAACCAAACTCACTGTCATTGAGTCTATTCGAGTCGTGGAAACCACCTTTGGGTTTCCGAGGCGTTGAACTTTAGGGAATTAGATTGCCCAGTCTTCCTTCCTCGGAATGTCTTGGCGGTTTGCACTGCCAAACTTTTAGTTAGCAGTCAAATGCCTTAGGCACTACACCACCAGAGCTCCTTGTACAAAGTAAAGTTTCAGTAAAGTGAACAAAATGTCTTTTGTGTTGGACAGAGTGCTAACGATTCTGGCTATAAATATGCTGACTAAAACACAGTCCATACCCTCCAGGAATCTAGCATCAGTGGAGACTCCAGTGTCCTATGACAGGTATTCCCAGGATTCTGTGAGAGCCACCATAGCCCAGCCTCCAGGGAGGTCTTCCTGGAGGGGGCAATAAAGCACAAAGGTTTATTAGGGGAGGAGCTAGGTTGGAAATTTAGGCGTAGTCCACTTTCTAGAATATCTGGAAGGACTACAGAAGCCACGCCAACCCGAGTGATGTGAATAGATTTTTTTCAAATGCATTTTATTGAAATATAATTTATGTACAGTGAAATACACAAAACTAAAGTGACATGGGTCAGTGATTTTTTTTTTTTTTGCAGTGTTCCCTCCCCTCCCTTGCCACCCCTGACAACCAACAAAGTTTCCCTCCATATATAAACCTTTCCTTGACCTTCCACAACAACGAGCTAATACTATATTTGTCCTTCTGTGATTGACTTATTTCACTCAGCATAACGTCCTCCAACTTCATCCATATTATGCGATGTTTTGCAGACTGTACATTATTCTTTAGTACTGCATAGCATTTAATTATGTGTATGTACCATAGTTTGGTCATCTACTTTCTGCTATAAATCTTAGAGATAAGTCCTTGCCAGATATGTAATTATCAGCAAATATGAATTTGTTGCTGTCATTTTTGTTATGTGCTTTTTCGTGGTGTTGATTTCTTTGTTCCATATAATTTTCTATGCTGAGCTTGTTTTGTTTATGAATCGTGTTATCACTTCCTTCATTGCTATTTAGTATTTGCTGAATATTTATGCTGGTCCTCTTTTGTGATGTGAAGGTTTATCATTGTCCTTTGAGGTTTCCCTGTGATTTATAGTTTTCTTCCCAAGTTTAGAACAGTCTGTTCTGTCTTGTAGTTGTCTTGACTTCCCTACCATCTAGCAGTTCTGTAACGACACAGTTTTTTCCCTCTTTTTGGTTTGTAGTTGTCCTCATTTGTCAATTGATGTTACTGGTTCCCTGTTTACAATCTTGTAGGCTTCTTTACTTTGGATACTTCCGTGGCTGGGTTGGTTTCTGGGTTATATCATCATGTGTGTTAATGGTCAGTTGTTGTTGGCTGTTGTTGCTTCTCTGTCCAAAGGGCTCCCTTTAGCATCTCTTGTAAGTTTGGTCTGGTTTTAACAAATTTCCTTAATTTCTGCTTATCTGGAAATGTCCTAATTTCACCATCATATTTGAGGGACAGTTTTGCTGGGTACATAATTCTTGATTGAAAATTTTTCTCTTTCAGGGTTTTATATATACCATCCCATTGATAATGACTCTCTGTGAAATCCAAGCTTAGTCTTATTGGTTGCCCCTTGTAGGTAACTTTTCGTTTTTCTTGTGCTGTTCTCATAATTCTTTGTCTGTGGTTTTGGTAAGTTTGATGATGATATGTGTAGATGATTTTCTTTTGGGGTCTATCCTGTTTGGTTCATTGGACTTCCTGAATGGATGTATTCTCGTTTATCATACCAGGAAAATTCTCTTCCAACAAATCTTTGACAATTTCCTCTGTGGTTTTATTTGTGTCTTCTGTTCTGGAATTCCGACATAGGTTATTCCTTTTGATGGTATCCTACATGAACCTTAGGCTTTCTTCATTTTGTTTGATCTTTTTTCTGATTGATCTCTTTCCAAAGAAGTGTTCAGGTATTTGCCTTCAGTCTCCCTAATTCTGTCTTCCATTGATTCGATTCTGCTCCTCTGCCCATCAATGTCTTATCTATTTATGAAAATTTAGTATTAATCTTCTGGATTTCTGTGTGTAGATTTTGTATCATTTCTACTTTTTCATTTATTTTGTCATTTTGTTCTTGTATTGTCTTTCGAAATTGTTCTAGGGTTTTCTCTGTGTTTTCCTTGATCTGTCTCTCAATTCATTGAAGATACCTAAATATAATTCTTTTGAATTCCTTATCTGGGAGTTCCAATGCTGCGTCTTCCTTAGGGATGTGTTTTGGGTCTATATCCTGGTCCCTTTTTTCTCCTGCTTTAACTTGCTTATTTGTGTGTACTGTGATGCTCGGTTGTCTCTGAGGCATTGTGATGTTTTTGTGTTTATATTTAATTGGTGATTGTATGTTGGAGTGACTTGCCCATAATTTTCGTTTTCTTTGTTTTGTTTGTATGTTATCTATGCAAGCAGGGTACTGTGCTGTGCTCCTGTATTTGCTAGTGGGCAGTACTTACACACTCACCACCTGTCTCCTTTCCTGTTGTCAGCCTCTCGTATGTCCCTGCTGCTCTTGGCAAACAGAGCCTATTCCTAGGTCCCTGGAATCCAAATGAGGATGCTATCACTTTAAAATCCCAAATGGTTGCTACTTGTAAAGGTTAAAAATGGCTGCACCCTCAGTCACTTTAAATATTCAGATTAACTGCCACTATAAACATTCGAGGGAGCTCTGGTAGCATAGTGCCTAAGGCAC